AGCCTTAAGTAAATCCTAGAACGATATGTAGAACATACATCGGGTCACATAATATCTACTTTTAAATATGTTTTTACAAATCTGCAAATGCCTACATCCAAGCGTTGTAGTCTTGTGACAGCTACCACACGTGATCAACCGATCACTGAATTGATTCGTAAATAGTGCGCGTCAAGGTTGTTAAAGCATCCACAGCCGTATGTCTTAAATAGTGTGTTAAAAATTTATTACCGGTTGAAAATAAGAACATAGAATGAGCTTAGTTAAAAGTAAAAAACTGACTGTGTCTCCCGTGTCTACAAACGTCTGGTTCCCCTACAGCACAGTAGGCGTACGTCCGTGTGTCCATCGTATCGCATTGGCGCAAATTAATGAGGGTGGGATATTTATTTCAGGGTTTCGTTTGCCGATGCCAGCCAAAATATCAATTCACCTCTCGATCAACTTACGTATAAATAGTCAGCGAGCGCGCCGGATATGCAAAATGCCGGCGAGCCGGGGGCGATTCCGTAATGAGCTCATTAAGGTCGTTCTACTGCTGGGGCTGCGGTTGATAACGATCCAGCCGTTTACGTGATCGACAAAGGAATAATTGATCGATGACGAGTCGGACGCGGTCTACTGCGTCGGTGCTCCTAAAAATGGTTCCACTATCGCGCATTGAAATGACACGTAAATTCATATTATAAAATATTTCGGGCACTTTTTTTTCTTTTTTTTTACACAACGTCATTGGGTCCCAAACTAAGCAAAGCTTGTATTATGGTTTCTAGGTAACTAATAAACATACTTAAACGTTACTTTCTTTTGTAAATAAATACATATGGATATACTTATAAATACCGACTAGATAAACTCTTTGTTCATCACACAATATTTTTCCAGTAGTGGGGATCGAACCCACACCCTCTACCGCAAGAGATAGGGACACTATCCCTTACGCCAATTGGGTCGTCATATTGATACACATTTTTTTTATTTACTTATTCTTTAATGAAAACATCTCAAAAGGGGTTACAAATTCGGACTTAATGCCTATTAGCATTCTCCTAATAATGTCCTATAAAATATACTCGAGCACCACTACTAATGTGGTAGGACCAAGCAACCACGACCTCACAGAAGACCGGCGTAAAGTAGAAGTGTTACACTTTTGCGTTTCTTCTGGTGAGTGAGATAGCCGGGGCCCACTTTATTTAAAGATGGCAACGCATCTGCAATCCTTCGGGTGTTGCATGTCCATGGGCGACGGTTATCACTTAACATCAGGTGACGGTTCACCCAGCTCGTTTGCCACTTTCTAACATAAAAAAGAGCAACCTGAATTCAAATCCAGATGCCGCAACCAATGAAATTGTTAACTGTAATTACTGACTTAGGACATGCTCAGCGGTGAAGCAAAACGTGAGGAGACCTGCATATTTTCGAAATAATAATAAAAGCCATATTGCGATGATATGTGAAGTCTGCCACTACGCAGTGGCGTCACGCGGTGGACTATTCCCTAATGTCCTACACAGTAGGTCTTTGCCCAGGTGTGGGATATATATAGGCTGTTACTGTACTCTTTAATAATCTGTAAATGAGTGACCAGAAGTTAAGACCTCTTTTTTATTTCACCGTACTCGAACCCGTCGAATCGTATTCGTACTAAACGAACGTAGATAGACTTTCACGTCCTGAGGTTATCGGCCGCTCAGTTTAATGGGTAAAGGTTCTGAGCGCGAAACCGTAAGTCGTCGGTTCGAATCACCGTCGAAAGTTTATGTTCATTTATCTACCAAAGAAGTTAAAATCCTGCTACGGCACCATTGCAATTTTTAAATTTAGTTTTTAGTACTTCTTTCACATGTGTTTGGTGGTGATGAAGCACTCCGTGAGAAAACGTTCGTTTTTCTGAAATACTAAACATAATAATTACAAGTCCTAGTTTTATAAATAAATAAGTGCCACGTGAGTCCAATACTCCATGTAAAGAAGAGGTGCTTTCTTTATTTTTAGGGTTCCGTACCCAAAGGGTAACACGGGCCCTATAAGATACCGCTGTGTGTCTGTTTGTCTGTCCGTCTGTCACCAGGCTGTATCTCATGAACCGTGATAGTTCGACAGTTGAAATTTTCACAGATGGTTTATTTCTGTTGCCGCTATAACAACAAAAATGATAAAAGATAGCACAAAAAAATTTTTTAAGTGTGGCTCCTATACAACAGACATGATTTTTCGTGTAAAAGAAAAACTATACGAAGTTCTCAAACATCATGTCGATATTAGGAATCGGGAACTAAGCGGGCCCAAGTGTATCTTGTATCTTGTATTAACTGATGTTTTTGCTTTCAGTCCCGAGACTATTAAAGCTTCATCTGACGCAGAACCGGTGGGCTAGCCAGAACCCACGGGTTTGGGCCCTCCGCTGTGGGTAGGGCCGCGCATGTGCTCATGCATGTGCTCATGCCGCATGTGCTCATGCGGGCCCAAGTTGACAAGTTGTCGGAAGCCCTAACTCTTAACCCCTCATCTCATCTCAGGTCAGGGTTGTTGGTTTGAAGGAGGATATCAAGCTCGAAGGGAAGACTACAATAAACCTTCTACTTTTTTATGTAAGAAAGTGGCAAACGAGCTGGAGGTTCACCTGAAGTTAAGTGATGACCGCCGCCCGTGGAAATTTGCAACCCTACGGGTGTTGCAAATTTCCACACATTTTTTTTATGATGTGGGCCCCGGCTACCTCAATCACCAGAAGAAACGCAGAAGTGTAACACTTCTACTTTACGCCGGGCTTCTGTGAGGTCGTGGTACTTACCCGGACCTCCCGGACCTGCCCATTCGTGCAACAGTGTTTACTGTTACACGAATGGTCCTACCATACTTACTCCCCAACCCCTTCCACACAAATCACAATTATCATAAACATCATGGATATCACGGTCATTTAGAAACTGAAGATATCGGCGTTTATCTAGAATCTGAAGACAGACCGTTACTTTCCTGGAATCCGCTCTAAATCCAAGGTGGGACTCGTGATAGAGTAGGATTTTTAAATGATATTTTTTTATGTACTGCTATTCACTGCACTTAAGATAAAATCAAAAAAAATTGCCAAAAATAGACGAAAAGTTTTTAGCCGCTGCAAGGATTTGAAACAGCGTCCTTCGAGATACGCGCACGACGCTTTAGCCACTGAGCTTAACGGGTTATCCCTTATATTATACGTTGAGATTTTCGTCGGTGTGAAAAGTTTGCATGAAGCGTTTAAAAGTATAATTTTTGGTGAATTATTTTAACAAATATCGTAATATTTATTGGGTTCTTCAGACTTTTTGTTGTGAATATAGTAAAGGGAACAGATATCACGACAAAAATCTGAATGAAAGCCATAAATTTAGCATTTCATAAGCAATCAATCTTTTTTCCGAAACTGAAATGCCTCAGCAGTTTGCAAATAATTGTCAGTTGGTCGATTGACGGATGTAAAAAAACACTCACACAGTACGCATTTAGAGTTTTATTTTATAAAATTAATTCTGCTACGAATAAACAGAAATGGATTTAACGACAAGCGGAAATCACAAATCAATTGCTACGCAACTTAGATTAATGGCTTCGTAACATTGTAACATTTTTAGTATTGCACTAAATTGGTTTTGAATGCGATGAACATTTAACGAACAGGAAAAAGAAATGTTTCCAATAAACATGTTTTTATAACGTGTAAGAATTTGTATTTTTTTTATTAGTTCTAATAATATATTTCACAACCATTTTTGTTTCATCGCTTAGAAGAATATTGTTGTTCTTATAAATGTTACAAAATAATAGGTGTGATATTAAAACAATAACATTTAACTAAATTGTTTCTTGGCTATTCAAAAAAAATATTTATTTGAATAATCCCATAGAAGAAATTAATTGGATAGCAAGCCATTTTACTATGCCTTGAGAAATAAAAATGGCATTAACTTATAAAGAAATAAAATACTTTGAACAGCAAAAATAATATTTTTATAGTTTAAAATTATATGTGAATATAACAAATTTTTTGCGAATTTAAAAGTTTAATCTGTTAAAAAGAATAAACGACAATGTAAGAGTCCTGAGGTATTGGTAAATATCTACAGTGGACAGATCTCATATAACCAACAGATAATGTATCTTATATCTAGGTCAGTATACATCTACTCAACTTTATAATTGCAAAACTATTGCACTTTACAAGATGCATTTACAACAACATATTATTTACAGTTTATTTACTTTACAATTTTACATAATAAATGAAATTTAAACAAGAAAACAATTATGTCAATAATTAATTCCTTGTCTTCCTTCAATCATCAATTTAAAGAAAAAAACTATATTTTACGTAATATTCCAATTTCAGAGAAAAATTAGGTTAACTACATTTCTGATCTTTCAGTTTTTACACTTTGAACTCAAAATTAACATTCAGATGATAAATAATCAAAAGCCAAGTGAAACAATAATACTTATCTAATGTTAAAGACCGTTATATTTTCATCCATATAATAATTATTAATAATAAAATAATAATCGTACATTATAACATAGATAGTATTTAATTTTAGGTTATAACTGGGGCGATCCATCATGTCATCAGATGTAGAATTAAAACGATCCGCGAAAATCGAACGTATTGCCATTTGAAATATTTAGCCAAAATCGTATCATTATAGGACGGGAACATATTTTCATAAAAAAATTTAATAAAATTTAACTATTCGACTTCCTATTACACGTTATCTTACATTTTACAAGTACAATTATAATATCTATTTCGTTGCGCTAAGTCTAAATTAAAATAAAATCATCTTCAATTAAATTTTAATTAAAACTCCTCGTCGGTCACGTCTGTCCTTTAAAGGTAATATATATTATATAATATAGATACAATCACCGACTCTACCTATGATCTAAACAAGTTATTGGGCATGAGGTATCAACAATCTCTACATTTGCGGGCGACAGATTTAGTTTGGCATCTAGTAGGGTCGCCAGACGGTGTTGCTGTCTGGTTGAGGGTTGCCGCGTTGTCCCAGGCTGTTCACTCTTCCATCCTCACCCCTGGATGCGGCTGCCGCGCAGGAGTTGCCGGAGCCTAGCAGCAGATCGCCCTGCCCATGGTTCCCGTGCTGCCTGTGGTTGTTTGTCGTCGACGAGATCTGATCCATCATCGTCTGCAGTTCGTTGTGGTGGTTCTGCGTCGAGTGTATCGAGTTCGTATGTAGCGAGTGAAAGTTGTGCGACTGGTTCGCCGCCGTGTACAGCTGGCTGTAGAGCAGGCTGGCGGGTAGAACGGGATATAGGGAGTTATTGCAGTTGCCCCCGCCATAAGAGGTGTTCTGCGAGCCCATTAGGGCTGGAAAGTTGGCGCTGTTCGAATGGTTGTGTATGTTCGTGGTGGTGTTAGACGTCAGTAGGTCGTCCTGCACTGGGGACTCGGGTTGCGAGCTGTTGTCGCTGAGCGACCTGGGCCCCGTCGAGAGGCCGTAATCGACGTTGTTGTTGTACCGGGGCAGGAGGCTGCCGTGGTGCGACGGCGACGAGCCCACCAGCCCCGACAGCTGCTGGTCCAAGTCCACGCCAGTCGTATCCGGGAGCACTGCACAGACAGTTGTTTATGGAATTATAAGCAGACAAGCGCAAACCACGAATATTTTTGTTGTAAACCGTTGTGAAAGCTTTCTTTATTTCACTATTGGTGCCCTCAGCCGAGGACACATAGCGGCTTGAGACAACAAATGTAAATGAATGGGTAAAATTTAATACCACCTTATACGTTAAAATGCAAATAAGTTAAATATTGATCATCTGTCTTTTTTCATCTCACTTCTAAAAAACTGAGACACTGACTACGATAAAATAAATAATTAATTATGTGAAAAGTAAAAGAAACTTCATAGTTTTCGTTCCGTTTGTTTGAATACTTTTTTATAAATCAGCTATACTATTTACATAGTGTTGAATTTCAAATTTATAAGTCAACAAATATATTTACATGTCAACAAATATATTTACATGTCAACAAATGTCACCGCTCTCATATCTCAATCGCTTCAATTAGCGTATAATTAACATTGTACAATGGTATGCGGAGTTCCGTCAAAAAGACTTTTTACGCCTCCATTTAGTCAAATTAAGTGAGAAAAGAATACTTTCGGAGTGCACATTTACTTGTACGGTGCGCCGGTCAACTTAGATCGAGATCCGCGCGTGCAATGGAGGGATGTGGTTACAACATCCGAGCGGGGGGAAACGATATTCGTTTCTGACATAGCTCGATGTTATAGTTTTAATATGGCACTATGTTTTTGTCGCCGCGGGGCACGCATCGGCGATAAATTCATCGCGCCGTGGACACGTCCGAGCCGTAGTAAATTATATTGAGAGCCGGTTTTATGTCCGGCAGCCCCACGCCAGCCGTACGGTTTTAAGGAGGATGTCGCTCATAAACCACGTTGGTGCGTTTAATTTCACCATTCTGGTGTGATGAATTATGGGCCGTTGGCCGAATGAGCTTTATAAGCTGGACAGGGAAACAGTAGCTTTTTTTAATGTGACAATGTCGAAAGTGAGCTGGCGGTTCACCTGATGTTAAGTTATAACCGCTGAATGAAAATGCATAAAATAGAAAAAAGCAAGATACACAGTACCTGTTTAAAAATTGAATGTTCCATCTCTATGCAGCTATTTGTATACAAATAGAATATTTCATTTTTAATACAGGTATTTGGAAAAGAAAGCTCGCAATACCCGTAAAAAATAGAATATCCGAAGAAAGGTTCGCAATACCCGTATAATAATAGAATATTCAAAGAAAGGTTTACTATACCTGTATAAAAATGGCAAAATGGTAAGATATTCCATTTTGCCATTTTTATACAGGTCCAGAATACTCGTATAAAAATGGAGTATTCAAAGAAAGGTTCGCAATACCTGTATTATTCGTGCCGAAGTCCTGAGTGGGCGTCTGATCGGGTACAGTGCCAGCGAAGCCGAGGGCGGGCGGGTTGAATTGGGTGGCGCTGGGCGCCGCACACGATGGCAGGTACGCTGGGTAGGCACCAGCGCTGCCGTAGCCCCAATGCGAGTTGCTCGAGCTCAGCCCGAATTGGCTCATGTCTGCGAACAGAATCGAATTTAAAGTATCGTTCGGTTGTAATACGCCGAAATGCCTTTACGTGCTAGATGCACAAATTGACGTGGAATGATCTGGAGAGATGGTCAAAACACGAATTTTCACTATCTACAATACTTACAGATTCCCCGCTCGTCGCCCAAATCCACATTACAAATAATTTACTACGTGTAATCTTTATTTATATTATTTTTTCAAGTCTTTGTAGATTACTGATTAATCGAAATGACAAAACTGTTACTAAGCGAATTTATTTTTTATTTATATCGAAATAATTTTTTTCCCTGGTTTCTTTTCATTCTAACCTTTTTGATATTGTTCTTTCTTAAATTATAAGTGGTACCTAGTACGTGAACTGTTTTAAGGAATCTTTCTTAAATTTATTCGAACAAGTTTTGAATATAACACAGCATTAGGGATGGATCAGGGAAAATTAAAGAAGTCAAGTAAGAAATTCAAACTCAATATAAAAATAAAAACGCACCGCATCGCTGGATTAATATAGCTGCAAGCAGAACGTTGACTTCACACAGTTTAAATTCGCATACACCTTTTCCTTCATCGCTAAGTACGTAAAAAGGACAAAATAGACAAATGCACAAATCAAATAGTATATCATGTGAACAGATGCGCTGCACGCGACATTACAATCGCAATCAATCAAAAGCGGCTCGAAGCGGGTACAATCGCTCTCATAAAGATATCGGCCCGGTCAACTCGACCGAGCGTCCGCACGCTCCATCCGCTTTTTTTCCCCAGTAGCATTACCGGCTTTTATTTTTCGGTATCACGGTACCGTTTTTGGCCGGCGATCGGTGGAGTTGGTTTTTATACGCGCGGCGCGTCGATTTGCGAACGCCTTTTTTCTCGAACACGGCGAGTTGTTTCGGTGGTGCCTTCGGCGGGGCGACCGCGTATTCCGATTGCGTTTCGGCCTTTTCGCGTGAGCCGATTGAATCCGTTTCGGCGGGCGTTCGGCCTATCGCAGCTTGGCGATTTCGATTTTGACCTGGCATTTATGAGGTTCCGTTTTGAGAGCGAACGGCCGATTCGGATCCCGCCCGGGCGTGTTGAGCCGCGCAGTAAGTCAATCACGGCTTCGATACGGTTATACGGCTTGTGAGCGGTTTAGTTTTTTTAGTATTGGCCACAAGGGTAACGTTGATTTGAAAATGTAACTGCAATAATATCTGTTCCTGTTTTTGTTATATATTTTTTTATTTCTAAGCTATCTCTTGTTAAGAACTTAACAAGCGATAACGCCTCATTTTGTAACTGTGTCCGTTTCATTTTCGGTTTGCGTGTGTAAATTTGACTATGTATTACATTTTAGATCCTAACTTAAATGGTTGATTATCCGATCAAGGCGTAATTGCAAAATTCTTATTACCTTACATCACTCTTATTACTCTACGTTGAAAGATAAGTTTTTCAGTATTCCATCAATAATAAGATTACATCAACAAATAAAGTTTCATCTTAAGTGTAAAGATAAGCACTATAAGAACTTATGTAAAATTTAAATTTCAATAGCAAAGGTCAGACCTTTAACATAACACGTTTATTAATAACACGTTTATTTTGTATTAATTCTAGTTAAATTAGTAATTGAAACCAATTAAAGATCTCATCACACTATAAGTAGAGAAAACCAAAATGCATGTAGTGATATTGTTTTCGGCAAATATCCGCAATAAAGATTAAATAAGTAAATAGATAAAAAACGCAAAATGGTTTAGGTGGACATCTCGCCAGTTTCTGCTGCCATGGTTTTAGATCCCACCCCAGCATGAGACAAAAATTGTGTACTCTATAAGTAGTTGTTCCGATTTTGGCTGTACATTGTACCGTAAAGTGTAAAGTCTCTGATAGTAAAAAATTATTTTACAAAAAATAAAAGATAAACAATTTAAAATAAAATCACCATTACACAAAAACTTTTTCAATTCTAAATTCAAAATTAGTGCGACTACGACTTATGCCTTTTTTTAATAATTATTCACGAGTTAAAAACCTTACCTCAAAGTTTCAACTTTAAGAACCAATTTTGTCGACGCCTCATGAGTAAAATTATATGTTACGGTATATTATAAGTTGTGTGGCGTGACTTATAAGAAGGGGGATCCGGGGATCTTTTGGAGGATTTCTTAGACACTAATGCCATATAAATATAAGTATAAGCCTATATTTGTTATATGTACATTACCGTTTATGTTTCTTTTTCTTCTATAAGGGAAATTAAGTTGTTTTACGTATTTATCTTTAAGTGTTCAACTGCGAATGGGAACATAATCATGATCATCATTTCAGCCTGTCTGAGTCCACTGCTGAACAGAGGCCTCCCCCATAGACTGCACGAAGTACGATCCTGAGCCACCTGCATATTGTTATAAATATAGGACAAACAAAAAGATCAGTATAAATCCGTGTAAGCGTTGGCTGAACGGTGATTTATTAAGTCACCTTTGCCAAGACGTAAACCTGAACCCTTGACGAAGTTCCTGCAGTTTGTGATCACACTTTGGACCGCCCCAACCAACATAAGAAGATAACATTTCAAATCTTTACCAAAGAACACGGATTTCTTCCAAGAATGATTCGCGAGGCTATTGAAATGAATTATCATACTTATTTCAATTGAGATGGTTCTCTATTACTACCAGCTTTGAATTCTATAATTTAACAAAAGCTACACTTCAAAGTTCAAAATACTGTAAGCTATTAACAATATATGCTAATCTACAGCCTCAACATAGCTGTAAGATAACTGCGTAGATCAGAAATAAATAAAAACTCAAATGAAGACGGTAGGGCGGGATAGTTATAGCATGAGACGACGGAGTAATTATGGCGTAGAACAGCAGATTTCATCTACGTCTTGTCCATGCAAACAACTAAGTGCATGCATGCAAATTGTAAAAGCTACCCTAATGGAAAGGGTCTATTTTAATGTCAAAGAATACATAGAAGTCGAGGATGTGTTGAAAAGGTTTTTGCTCCACATGCAAGTCCCTTGGCTGTTGCTGACTTTATATTTAATAAATTTTTATATATAATTTGTTTTTAAAAAAGAGAGAACAATACGGCAGTTCCTTGCCGGTTGTTCTCTGGGCAAAATTAAAGTTTATACCAGGGGATTTTTCTTTTGGTCAAAAACTTTCAATAAGGGTTTAAAACAAGTTTATATTGAATAAAGAAATTTTGCCCTTTAATTCTTTTCAAAAATTATTACACGAGTGTTATGGTTGCTACAATTGATATATTATCAACTCTAGCTATATAAACTATACAACTATAAAGATACTCACTTTGACATGTTGTGATTGGCGGCATACGGAAGCCGCCGAGCGGGTCGGGCGGGAAGGGGAACGGTCGCTGACCAAACGCGAAGTGGAACTGCTGCTGCTGCCCTAAGAGAGACAACACTACATCAGTACGATACAGGCTGCCCTCAGCTATAAGCACTATTCGAGAAGATGACTGTAACTGTGAGCTGTGACTAAATTCTGTGGTCCAATGCTATGCAAACCAACGAAATCACTTTCTCATTTATGATATTATTTGGGATTCAAACACATTAATCAAACACATAGAGCCACGCAACAGCTTCTGCTGTGTTACTAAAAGTAATGGGCAGGCTCGTCTGGGGACGTTCCTTTCACGTTTTTATCGGGCCTAACTTTCCAATGGCTGGCGACACCTTTGCAACCCGTCAAGGTTTTGTAGATGTATGTACATGGGCGGCTGTAATCAATTAAGATCTTGTGGATTACCCGCTCACTTGCCAACTTTTAACATAAACAGAAAGAACGAGCGCATAGCCTCTATCTGGTATTCTTAGGACTGGTCTTACATTGTGAATTGCTTAACTTCTACTTGGAGGCCGCTTTATATCAATTGCATGATCACCAATAAAGAGACTTTTGTAAATGAAGATATGGTAATGGTAAAATATATACTATGTAGACTAACTGCAACCAGAAGCCACGGTTAAAAGAAATAAACAATTAACAAATGAGTTGAAAGAATGTCTAGAGCAGTGGTAATGACTTAATGTCAAATGAAACGCCTGTTCACTAGCTAACACATAAAGAAATAATTGAATAAAATGTAATATATACTTGCGTTTTGGACTACAACAGTTATGTATGTCTTATATATCTGTATAAGGTTTCACTGTTTGTTTATGAAAAGCCGTTTGTGTTATTTAACGTTTTATTGGAAGCTCTGAAGAATGAAATAAGAATCTTTTATTTATATATCTTCTCTTCTCAAAATCTTGAAAGTTACCTCTTTCCACTTGATCAAGTACGTGTCTCCTTTCAGTTTCTGTGCGAGTTTATCACTATCGCTATGAAATTCGTATTTTACCTTTATTTTTGTAAAAGTTTTTTGGTTTTGTCTCTACTGTCTATTAAAAAGTAGTTTTTACCTATAATTAAGATACCACTCATCACTTGTTTGCAAACCTTGTTTATTTATTCTGTTCCGGTGTGTACTTTGTTGGCGTTAACTAAATAAATAAATAAAAATCCAATCCCATGCAAACCAACGAAAACACTTTCACATACATAATATTATTTGGGATTCAAACACATTAATCACACACATAAAGCCTCGCAACAGCTTCGGCTGTTGCACGAATGGGCAGGTCCGTTCTGGTAAGTACCACGATCGCGCATTTATTTCTAGTATACGGGCTGCCAGTAACAGCTAGACTATAAAAACATTACGCTCATCACACAGTACTTTTCAGTAGTGAGGTCGAACACGCCCTCTGATACAAGGGACAGATTAACAATCCACCGGTGCTTATCGGTTCACCACACACATCAAACGTTTCCTGGCTATTATTGATGATGAAACGGTGATAGGTTCACCACATGTTTGGTTTAAGTTTTTTAAGGGTATTCGAAAATAAAAGTAAAGTAAAGTAACAGCATGTATAATATGTCCCACAATTGGGCAAAGACCTCCTCTGTTCAAAGGTATTATGATGCCCACAGCTGGCAATAGTCCACCAAGCGTCTCCACTGCCGATTGGCGGACTTCACATAATTATGTTCGATATTTTTTTATCATCATCATCATTTCAGCCTGTTTGAGTCCACTGCTGAACATAGGCCTCCCCCATAGACTGCCACGAAGTACGATCCTGAGCCACCTGCATCCATCGACTTCCCACAGATTTGCAAAGGTCCTTTTATATTATTTCAAAAATATGCAAGTTTACGACCTTTCATTTCATCATTTCACATGCGATAAGTCAGCGCACAAAATTTCCAAACACATTGCTGCCGTCACCGTGGATTGACCCAGGTTGCTAGAGTATATAGAATTAAATGCGAGCGCCCGGACAATGAGCTATTACGGCTCAAGGGCATGCGAGGTTTATGCTAGCAGCTTGGTATGCACGTTAAGAAATGAGCATTCAAAGTAACCGTTTCCCATTGCCCCCATCCTATTTGTTTCTAGACACCGGATAATTCATCGACGCTCTCGACACCGCGTCCCCCAAATTCTAGCACGTGTAGGAATTAGTGTCGCGGGGCTGGTATGGAGTATCGAACCCCTCAGGTGTATGGAATTATTGATGCGCGTCACTACGTTCGTAGGGCAACGGTTTTAATTAACAGTGTTTTGTACAGAACCCTTTCAAATATCTCCGGCGTTTTGTGGTTTCATTTTATTGATAGATAAATTCTCCACGATGCAATTATGTTATTTTTTATAAATAGTAAATAAATTTTTATTTCTAACTTGACAGTGTTTCGGGTTTGAAATAGAAAATAAATTTACAAAACACACAATATTGTGCGCTCTGGCAACTCTCGAAACGCCATTTTGATGTGTCCTCATCACCTTTGTGATTACATTTGAGTCCGGCAACGTGTGTAGACTTCTCTGTCAACTTCATCTATACATATATAGCTCAATTAATATAATAATCATCCACATCACCAATCAGGGGGAGCGAATGCCTCATGAATCCATACCATTTCGGCCTTAGTATCCAGTTCCTACCATTGGGTGCTGTAATCAATAATTTCATTCCGTGAAAGAAATCATCAATAACTTCATTCCTTGCTTTCATTTAATGTCAATTGAACAATGAGAAATATTTCATCATTAACGAAAGAATTAAAGGCAACCCTCGTATTACTAGTCTCCTATGAGTTCGTATTGGTGGCTTGTAGAATTCCGTTCTAGAGCGTTCTCTGGTGATAAATATAATTGTTCGATAATTGACTCGACTGATTAAGTTCGCCGGTGCTCCCTCGCCGACGCGCCTCCCGAGGCGGCCGCGACAGACAGGTGGCGCGTTCCGATGGCTGTGGCGCGAATTATTCACGCGATATGTTCGCGACAAGCCTGTCGCCCGTCGCGTAGATTCCACAAGGGTGTCAATAAACGCAAGCAGTTTTATGGAGTAAGTATGTGTTGTAAGACCTGAGATATTGTTTGGTCATCAAACGTGACATTATTATCTCATTATCGTAAATATTACAACGTAGACATGTACAGAAATATTGCACACGTTTTACTAACGAAATGTGGTATACAAAATATATTTAAATTATACTTTATCTATAATTAAGTAAGCATATTGAGAATCGTATATTTTGCAGCTTCTCAATTTGACTGATTCTTTGAATAAAAAACACATGATTAAAGGTATGATTTGTTTCGAACCTACATTCTATATACGGGATAAAAATTATGTTTAGCATATCAATGTATAAGCTATGTCCATTTTAATTTCATACAAATCCGATAAGCCGCTTGGTCAGAAATGTGAGCGATCTGTGATATAGAAGTTGATGAAACCTTTTAATAAATTTTTGTACTTAATGGCATTAAATTTTGTTGAAAACTTCATCATAGCGCTTTTAAGCATCCAAGGTTGATGTAGTTTAAGAATATGAAAAATAAACACGAACTGTGATAAAAATTATCTATCTATCCGAAATGTGATAAAAATTAAGTCTGCAAGAGTAAATTTTATTAGAGGTCAGACTCAAGCATAGTTTATTAAGTACAAAAACAATCCAACCTTTGCAAGTATATACATTCTTGCAATGCTAAAGATTGCAAGACTGTATATACGATATTAACATGTTTAATTATTTCAAATAAGTACGTACCTACATTACTATAAATTAATCACTTTAAAATAATAGCAATGTAAATAACGTCAAACAACTAGTTAATAAACAATCACAACGGGCGCGCTGTGGGTATCGGTGCAGTATATTATCCGAGCCCAGTTATAAGCTCGTCGATATTCGTAATGTGAAATTGACAAATGCAGATGCATCGAACTGGGAACAATTGAAAATGCCGCGCACACATGCACGTCAGCACACACACACATACGGCCCTCACAAAAGGCTCCGCGTGTATAAATCAACGGCGCAACAATTACACACTTTCATGGCAAGTCGGAATTAGAAACTGTCATTTGCACCGTTCGAGGGGCCCGCGACAGGGGGGGAGGGAGTGTGTTACCGATGGGAGGGAAAAATGGGGTGGAAAAGGGCTACCGTGGACCTGATTAAAGGATTACATCGGGGGGTGGCGTCCGGTGTAGTTAGATTTATTATGCAAAGTATTTCAACTAGTTAGCCTTTAGTGTACCATCCCAGACGGCGGGCAGACCGGCGGCGGACAGACGGTCTGAATTAAATTTGAATTAAACATCATGCGGACACGAATTTCGCGTCGTGAAGCGAACAATTTTTGACAGTCGAAGTCAAAAAATACTTAACTTTGACATAAAAAAAACTATGAGCTTGTAAATTATTTATTGTTTGATGTGGCCTATTGATTATAGACATGGTTTACAAATATTAAGCTTAAATGTATACATGATAGCCTACCGGAAGTGTTAGAAATATAATCTTTATTTTATCACCAACGTAACTAGTTGCTTTTTATATAGATCTCTCTATAGCATTGTGAAGACTAAATTTTTGCTTAGTTACGAATAGTTTAATAACGATAAAGGGAACCTATCAGTATTATCAGGCTCATTGTGAATTTGGTGAACGGACAAGCGCAGCGTGCAGCCATCGCGCGGGTGGTCCGCCGTGAGGGCTGGCGCTACCGAAATAGCCAGACATCGCTGCCTTAAGAAAAACATCGTTTACAATCGCGTCCGATTATTAAACGTAGGCGGCTACTGTGCGGCCGTAAAGCGTACCACCCACCCGTGTGGGTAAAAATAGGGTGAGGAGTTATTGCAGAAGGATAAACAATGCGCGCACCGAGCATCGTTATTGCCCTATTCCAGCGATGTAAAGGATTGTGCCGATACCAACCAATGATCAGATAGATTTAACATTCCCGATTCACTTATTACCTTTGAAGTTTAGCTAAATTTACGCTTATTAATGATTCTAATTTCTCTTCTTCTAATTTCGCTTATAATTCTAAAATTACGCTTATTATGACCGGTCCAAAATACTACCGGCAAGCTACAATTTTTAAACGGTTTCATTTAGCTCGACCCGTACGGAATTTGTTTGTTTATTTATTTGGGTTAAAATTAGAAATTGAAATTTAAGCACCTTGCCGTTGTCAGATTAATCTGAAATTTGGTACACACATTTAATTTATATGACAATACAATATTAACAAAAAAAAACATACAACAAAAATAAAACCGTTTAACTTAAAAGTTTTTTAAAGTAATTATTATATTATAATATTAATTTGATACCCACTAGATGCTATCAGTCCTCACTCCTTCGGATATTAATTACTTGGAGTCTAGAAATCTTTTGTAATAAATTTTAAAAGCCCTTTGGAGTGGAAGATATTTCACATTGGATAACCCAAATCTGTTTCCACTACAGTCGCGTTCTCGAATGGAGTGCTATAACATAGATTTTCTATAATCGCACCTATACACGGTTACTTGTAAGAATAGCTTCATGAAATACTTTAAGGAGAGGAAAATACCTTTGCCGAGAATGTAAGGGTTTGAAGTTCTATCTACTGGTCTGGAAATCTACATGAACTCTAAGCTCATAAGCATTTATTTAATTCATAAGTTTGATTTTTCTGTTACTATCATTATATACTATTATATATATTTTTTTTAATTTTGGGAAGAATCAGCAGTTGTACCAAAAATTTTTAGATGCAAATAATTTAAGTATTTACTAAAACTTGAATGGTATAAAAGTTTATGTTCTTTTTAAAGTCACTGCTAATATAGAATTAATTTTTATCAATGTTCTCAATGTTTGCAAAATTAATACGTAGATATACAACGAAATATACGTATTGCAGTTTTCAATAAAAAGTTATCCCCACTAAGCCATACACAATCGACAGCTCCCAACTGAACTATGGCGACTATAATAAGTCAATAATAACTGAAACGGCAACAAAACGTTTCATTCGCACTTAAAGAACTTTAATAACAGTTTAAATCGAAATGCGAGGGAGCCGTTTGATAGATTCCGATCGGATCGCTAAGCGCCTCACAAAGGACGTTCGGCGAGCGTTGTAATGAACAACGCAACGTATTAACAGTTCCCGAACTAAGTCATTAACGCCCGTATAGCGTTCCGTACGTATCCGTGTAAACACTCGTCGGAACTTACTGGAATTAAATAATTTATCGCCTCGTCTAGAGTATAGAGGCTGGAGGCGTAATAAATCAATATGCAGGGCACATGCATGCGAGCGGGGCGGTTGCCCCTCCCGCACCCCCCCAGCCCTTTCTTGACTAATTAATTAAACAACCGATTCATTACAGCATCCTCCTTTGTGCCTCCACATTCGCCTACTGAGCCACATCGGTACGGACAGCATGCGATCGACGGCTTCGTTTTCTTGTGCCGCTGTATGCCTTAGCGTTAGTTTTAATAGGATCACGCGAATTAAAAATTGTTTACATTACTACTCTACTAGATATCAGAGAGCTGTACATTGGTAATTTTATTTTGATTTTTTTATGCATAAATTTGACCATACTTTTCTTATTGTCTAATCTTAGTACAATAATTAGTAATGATGTTCATGAAACGTGCAAGCTAAGGAATGTTGCCATTGAATTTTAACAAAAAAATCATATGCGTGGTGTATGAAAATTCACAATAAAATTTTAACTATCCTCGTGTCATTCTAAAATGTTTAAAGAGGCCGTTGGAAATATTTGGATGTTTAATGAGGAAATATTATTAACTTTTTAATTATTCTCATGCATGTAATAAAAATATGAGCATTACATAAAGGCAGGTCTTTTTGCAATACACAAATTACGTGAGGACAAACATACATAAGTATGTTCAGATGTTTTTCGCAGACTTGTCTCACTTTTATCGCTGACGGTACGCAACCCTTTAGCTCTCGGGTAGCGGAGGCCGGCACTATCCCGCGCTCGCAATTATTTTAATTTCTTCCACGTGATGAGGATTGATCGAGCATTAGATGTGATTTGAGCGGGTCGGCTAGGCACCGTCATTTGTTACCGTCACCGAATGGTCCCTTTGGCATTAAAGTAACATTTCTGGGCAATCCAACGGCTCTCTGTTTTTATTACCACTATTCAATCCGATTAAACTGTTAAATCGACATTTCGCAATTAAATATCCCTATCCATTATTTTAAAATACATTATACATCGCTAAATATGATATGTCATAAAATTATATAATTACAATAATCTGTTACGTAAATCATATACTGATTACTTCATCAATTGCCAGTGAAAAATTAACTTAAAATGGTTTCAGAACTCATTGTTTAACGTAAAGTAGGGTAAAGGTTGGCTAAATGGTGATATATAGCAATATGGTGATAATTTTGCTTTCAACGGTCTTTATAATGCCCAGCGCGAGTTTTGCGTTCATTCAATGAATTGAAGGCGAGTATGTTCATCTCTCTTTCATTTAGCCGCTGGTCGCTGTCCTCACCGGACGCGGTTTATTTAATTCGCGCCAAAATATGCGAAAAAATGGAGGATAATCGGTACGTAAATATCACCAAATTACCAAAAACATTACATAGCTTATTTTTATTTCATTACAAGCTTAATTTGAATGGAGTTTTCAGGGTAGATGAAGCTCGAAATGTTGTATCTTTCTGTTAAAAAAAATATCGGGTTGTGTTTCATTAGTCCGGGTTATAGTCTTACGCATTGGATGATTTTTCTTACAGGAACAAGTCCGGAAAGGCAAATAAAAGGAAAATGAAGGGCGAGAAACGCAGAAATTATGACTCTTCACGCTTCAAGGAGTCTTATATGAAAGTTATAAAGGATAATTGGTCAGTGTACAAGGCGTCGAAGGAATATGGCATACCGTGGTCTACTTTGAGAAGACACATAGCTACTCATAGAGGTGAAAGTTTCGACTTACCTAAACTTGGGAGACCATTCACATTAGACAGCGACCTTGAATGTAAGTTTGTTTTCCTACATAATTAAAATGCAAGAACTAGGATTTGGTCTCAGCGTCACAGACATCAAAGCTAAATGTTACGCTTTAGCAGTCCAAGCAGGAAAAGATCACCAGTTTAACGATGCTAAACGTAAAGCTGGGCCTTATTGGTGGTGGTCGTTTAAAGAACGGTACGGGCTTTCATTGCGCACGCCAGAAAAGCTTGCAGCATGCCGAGCTGTTACTGCTAACAGACAAAACATTGACGATTTTTATAAAAAGCTACTGGACGTCGTTATTGAGCTGGATATTCTGCAAAAGCCTGAAAGGATTAATAACTGCGACGAAACCGGTGTAACGTTCGTCGTAAAACCGTCAAAAATTGTCACTCAAACTGGAAAGAAGGTAATTTACAGTAGAACTTTTGCAGAGAAAGGTGTCACACAAACGGTGCTTGGGTGCTGTAGTGCGAGCGGAGCGTCTGTACCCCCCTTGATAATTTTTAAAGGTGTCCGAATGGTCAATGATCTAGCGAATGGTGCTCCGGAAGGGTCTATCGTGAGATTATCCAAAAACGGATGGATTAACTCTGAACTATTTCTGGAGTGGATGCATCATTTTGAAGCTCATATTCCACCAGCTAGACCGGTACTTTTAATCATGGATTCTCACTCTACCCATGTCAGCCAAGATGTTATAGATTTCGCTACAAAAAATGGCATTCATCTATTCACTTTTCCGAGTCACACAAGCCATCTCCTGCAACCTCTGGACGTTTCTGTTTACAAGTCACTGAAAAATGCATGGGCTAAAGTGCTAAATGATTATAAGCTTCAACATCCAACGAGTGCTCCAACAAGGCTTGACTTTTGTCACCTATTAACACCAGCCTACGAGCATGCATTTCAGCCGTCAGTAATTATGAACGGCTTTCGAAAAACTGGCATTACGCCATTTGATCGAAATGCCATTTCTGATGAAAGTATTGCCCCATCATTGATGCAGCCGAGTGACCTACAGTCACAGAATATTGAATCTTCCACTGATAATGCCCAAGCTTCTGCTGTCAATCGTGAAACTGCGTCACCTTCAGTTTTCTCTTTACTTTCCGTTCCTGAGGTACCACAGTCTTCTTCTTCTAGTACCCGACGAGCTAAGCGGAATCCACAGGCCCGATATTTAACACCTCAAAGCACGAACAACATGGACAGTCCTGAAGAAAACATCGTCGCCACAGTCCACACACGAAACCACAGTCGCCGTTACCAGTGAGGAGACCGTTACCTCGATTCGTGTCCCCTCTGCTTCTCCAACTCCTGGACCTTCAACTGAAAGCAACCTGAAGCGTAAACTACCAAGAGTCAAGGTAGAGAAAAAACACCAAAATCAAATAAAAGTACGATGTGTGACTATTGCGGTGTTCACTACTCCCAAGATGTGGCACTTAGGAACGGAGCTGTATGGGTAGAGTGCATGAGCTGCGGCAAATGGTACCACCAAGAATGTACTGGCACAGAGTCGCCACAGTTCCTGTGTGATAATTGTGATAAAGTAGACTTTTCAGGCACTGATGACAGAGATTGGGCACCTGAATAGACTTGTCACCATATTGCCACATATGGTATCACCAAATTGCCCCCGTTCGAACGAGAGATGTCGCCATTGCTTTTTTAGAAATTTAAATTGTTTATAGTGCTAATCTTTGCACTTAAGATTGAACATTAAAATATGTAGAAAAAGTGCGAAAAGATTGTCGCCGCTGTGGGAATCGAACCCACGTCTTCGGCATTCGCGGCCTGACGCTCTAGCCACTGAGCTAAACGGCTGATGACCACACCGACGAAAATCTTAACGCATTCCTCTACATTGTTTTCTTAGCATTTGAAGCAATGCTTGGCGCCATCTATTGTTATATCCTTTCCAGCACTTTTTCTACATATTTTAATGTTCAATCTTAAGTGCAAAGATTAGCACTATAAACAATTTAAATTTATAAAACTTTAAGTTTTTTTCTTATTATCACCATAAAGCCAACCTTTACCCTATTTATATTATTATTATTATATATTGAAAAATATTGAAAAATACTAACGGAATAATACATATAATACTCGGCATAGGAATCCTACATCAGTACTACCAAAATGAATTAGTAAGGTAGCTTCACTGCAGCTCAAATTATCACCACATAGTATAAAACAAAGTCATACCGCTGTCTGTCTGTCCCTAGATATGCTTAGACCTTTAAAACTACGCAACGGATTGTGATGCGGTTTTCTTTAATACATAGAGTGATTCGAGAGGAAGGTTTATATGTATAATTCATGCACAATATAGTAGAGAAACACTGATAATTTTAAAGCTTGCTAATGCGATGTCGAAAACAAACATTCAGCATTGCACCCGTGCGAAGCCGGGGCGGGTCGATAGTTAAGAGATAAAGTAAGATTTTTTCACTAGAGTTGTTTTAAGATACAAGTCCGTTTTGTCCAAAAAGAAATCACATTTTCAAAATTGACTCGAGCAAACAATACGAAAATTTGGGTACAATAAATTACCGTTAAATAGTAAGGGTAGGGTAAACAGTATGCGAATTTATCACCCGACTTCAAATAGGAAGAGGTTCACCATTAATTTTTTTTATGTGATAAGTTGCCAAACGAGCAGACGGTTCACCTAATGTTAAGTGAATACCGCCGCCCATCGACATCTGCTACATCCAAAGATCTTATAATTTAGTAGAAGGGTCTTTGGTCACACCCGAGGGTTTGCAGATGCGTTGACAACCTGTTTGGAAATTGGGCTCCAGCTACCTCACTCACCAGACGAAACGCGAAAGTATTTGTCATACTTCCACTTTACGCTGGTCTTCTGCGAGGTCGTGGTACTTACCCGGACGAGCCTGCCCATTCGTGCAATAGCCGAGGCTGCTGCGTGGCTCTACCACCGTCAGTAATTTATTATCTCAAAACTCCGTCTTTTATGAACCAATTATAAAATTATTTTTGCATTGGGTTCGGTATAGCTCCCATATGGTCCCATATTAATTACATCGCTATTGGATTTTTGTCTCCGTCAGGGAATTCCTCAAAAACGAATAGAAAATGTATAGTGACAAATATTTGAAGTCGGTTTAGTTTTTCGTTACTAAAAATGTACTCGTTTAGAGCAATTTGTCATCACTATCTAAGAATCTAATTTCAAAACTGATGGAGAATATAATTTTTTCAAAAAAAAAAAAACACATTAGGAATTATTTAAATCAATAATATATTTATAATTTTGATAAGATCACTTTGTACATCGTGTACTTTACCTCTCAGATTCGAGAGTACCATCGAATTGAAGGTACTAGACATTGAGTAATATCATCTTTGAAAGAATTGGTTGAATTCCTCAACTAAAGAACGTTGGTCCTAGCGGATCTCTATTCTGTACGCCGACGGTAGAATATTGTCCTCGTAAAATAAATGAGTCTTTTGCATATAAAATTGCCAAAAATACAATAGAGTATGGTCAGCCATCTCGTTTAATTAAGTCGTTCCATCAATAGAATGAAAAGAATTCCAGTTGTTTTAAGACATAAAAAAACTTTAATAATAACTTAAACTGCAATAATATTATAAACTTTTCAATTACATGAATAGAGTTCTATGCACAGGTTCCGAAGAAGAAATATTAAGTGTAACACTGACTAACCGAAAGATAATTAGACGATAAGTGTCATAATGTTTTAAAAATAAATTTAATATTATAACATATTAGATAGCTCGTACAACCGATAACCACTGGGGAAGAAAGGTTCTTGAGTGGCAGCCTCGAACTGGCCATCGTAGTGTTGAACGGCCCCCCACTAGATGGGGTGACGACCTGTGCAAATGTGCGGGAAGACGATGGATGCAGGTGGCTCGGAATCGTGCTTCGTGGCAGTGGCAGTATATGGGGGAGGCCTATGTTCAACAGTGGAGTCAAACAAGCTGAAATGATGATGATTGTAACATATTATTTCCAGAAAGGCAACGCATTTGCAAGCCCTTGTGTGTTGCAGATGTTCATGGGCTGCTTCGTGGCAGTATATGGGGGAGGCCTATGTTCAACAGTGGAGTCAAACAAGCTGAAATGATGATGATTGTAACATATTATTTCCAGAAAGGCAACGCATTTGCAAGCCCTTGTGTGTTGCAGATGTTCATGGGCTGCTTCGTGGCAGTATATGGGGGAGGCCTATGTTCAACAGTGGAGTCAAACAAGCTGAAATGATGATGATTGTAACATATTATTTCCAGAAAGGCAACGCATTTGCAAGCCCTTGTGTGTTGCAGATGTTCATGGGCGGCGCTGGTCACTTTCCATCAGGTGATTTTCCTGCCCATTTTTTTTACAACAAATTTGTAATACTGTTGTCAATCTCAACTAAATGTTAATATACATATGAATTATGAGTATCAGTAAGGCTTTATTGCTCTGACACATCTTGATCACTCTTAAACATTAAATTTAATGTAAGCGGTTAATTTAAATAACTTGGAATTATTGGTAAATGTTAACTAGTTGTTATTGTCAAGATTAAATTGGTTATCAACAATGCTTTAATATTATATCATTTATATACCTCGTATTTGTATTTTATTTTATCATGTCGCTTTTTAAGGGTCGGTATGCGCGCGCATTTTAAAAATTTTACTCTCATAATTTTTCCAAACGCGCCAAAAAAAGTATAACTTCAAGATTTTTTTTGTACTAGTTATGAACATTAAATATTCTCATTTATTGTGAAATAAAACGTAAACTTTTTTAATGATGTTTTGATTAAATGGAATACTTTCAGTTATTTATTAGTTTTAAAAATCTTATTATGAACATCGATATGCATACATATGGTTACAAGGTTTGTACACTTTTAGATCCCTTTTAGTCTACAACTTCTATCAAAGTCGTTAATCCGATGCTTATTATTTTATTGTATCTAATAAATCAGTTCGATATGATATTGTTGGTTAAATTTTATCTATTCACTCGTACTATGTGGCCTCAGTAGTCAATCAGCGATGAATTTCTTTTTCTTAAAACCAACATGATACCATAGTTTTTATGGTAAGATACGTAGGTATGTATAAGCAAAATTTTTATGTCTTTCCCTAATTATTTCATTAATGTTGCTAACAATTTTCGGCATCCATACTTCGAAGCACAATTAACGAAATTCTACTGTAAAATTTTCCGGTTGAAAATAAAACTAGAGTAACGAATGAAAGTACAAACGTCGGAAACAATCCAAAACAAACAGGGATAACCGCAAAACATTCGAAACAAGCTGTATAATGAAGAAAATTTATTAATAATTTCCGAGGTTGCTTTTACTACGAGATTTTCCATTTTATACGCCGGCAAAGCAAAATTAGACATAATTCAATTTATTGTGTAGACTGCTGTTCATACGTGCTTGACTTTTAATTGTAAATATTTTACTGTTTAAAATTTTTAGCTTCATTCACTTCACTTCTAAAGTATAATAATTGTAATTAGATATCAATAACAATTAACATCGTATGTTTCAGTGATAAAGATTATTGCAAAAAGTATTTTCATACAGTCGTATGAATGATTTGTCCCGGGGTTAAGAAATTCTGACTAAAATTTTATACTTTAAAGGCCCATTTACACGATGCCATTTTCTTGTATATACAAGAGCAATAATTGAATGCAATAAGTTGCACGCAATAATTGACCATCAAGAATTGTAAGCAACAGTTTACACGCAGATATAGCAAAAAAAATTGAATGCGATTATTGTATGCAAGTATTGACAGGAAATAATTGCAAAGGTCTTTTGTTTACACCAATGCAATTATGTTTAGGCGATTATTGCTTTCAAGTTTTGACTTGTCTAAACACATGCTTGTATGTGCGTGTACAATTTATTGGCGTGTTGCTTCAAGTATTGCACGTATTTGCGTTGACAAATTTTTCATGCAAGTGTTGAACGTTTTACAAAGGGCTGTTTTTTTTAAAAAAAAATGGCTCAATAATAAGTGTTCAAGTTAGATTATGCCGATTAAATATATTTCGTTGAGATTTATTTATTATTATCCATATATTATTATTCATTTTTTATCCAACTTTTTTTTTACGACCTTTTCTCAATATTTCTTTCCTCCAAAAAACAGCCACGATTAAATACCCTCACTCATTGCACAAATTTTTGCAAAGGAAGAGAGAATGCAATTGAATACAAGAATTGCTTAAGAAATTATTGTGTGTGCTGTTTACACCAAGGAAAGTTTTGAAACAAAACTTGAAGCAAGTTTTGTTCAACGGTCAAGAATGTTATGTGCTGTTTAGACCATGCAACTCATTTATTGCTTCAATTTAATTGTATACAACAGGCAAGAAACTTGCACCGTGTAAATGGACCTTAATGTTAAATAGACAATAAAATACTAATATAGACACTGTATTATACTATGGGCTATTAAGCTAGAAACTACTTTTAAAGTAATTTTTCACATTTTTCACATTTTCATATACGAAAATTATAAGATTGTAATATACCAGCAACGTATTACTAAATTGTTCAGAGACAATAAGGCGCAACTTTTCTGGGTCTCGATATAATGGCATAATGTCTTTAAACTTAGTGATTCCTCACAAGTTCTCCTTCAAGAGTGGTTTAGTACGTAAATCCTGGAAGTCGGCAATCATACATTCTATACGAGAAAAGCGTCTGTACTCAAGGATCAGTACAGATGTTATCAGGGGATAACTATAGAACTATCGTAGAGCATGCATCGAACGCTCGCATTGTGGAGTACCTTTACGTATTTCGTCGAAATCGGCGTATGATTGATGTCTCCTAGTATTTGTCACTAATTTTTGGGGCGAGGGCCTCAATATCAATGGAGCTCTTAAAGTTTCTCTTAATTTCTCTAAAACCTTCTACAGGGCTTGGCACGCTAGCCTTATCAGTAAATTTCCATTGTATGGCCAATTCGGCTGGATGAAGGACTTTCTTAATAGTTAATCCTTCACTTTGAGTTGTTATTGATAGCAATTATTCCAAGCCTGTGACGACCAACATAGGGGTTCCTCAGGGGTCTATTTTTACCACAACTGTCTTCTTTAACCGAATATCGAGTCCGTAGAGATATAAGCCAGTCAAAAAGAGAGACTAATGTAGAGTTTTGTCAATCTCAAATTAAAGGCAGTCTCCAATTGGCGTGATGCCAATCATGTATGGTTCAATGTCACCAAAACTCAGCCGTGTTGCATCATTGAAAAAAGGACCGTTTACCTAGGTTCTACTTTCGGAATGTACTGACTTCACATTCAGGGTAATGAGATCTCCTTAAATATTTACATTGGCCGGTTCATAGACTTCAGGGCCAAAGCATCAGTAAGGATGTTGGGAGTCTTTTGGAAAGTTGCTGCGGCATTTGTCACCGGGATAACTTGTATCCCTCTATACAGCACAATTTTTATCTGAAAATAATGGGCTTATGATGCAAAATACCACCGAGCTACTCTAAACTCCGTGGACAATCCTGCAAAAGTCTCCAACACAGGCGTAGATTGGTCAGCCTCTCGGTGTCATTAATTCTGTAGAATATATAATAATCTAATCCCCCTCCATCCGCCCCTTCCATGTCAGATATATTGACATTTCCCGCTTTTGAACAAAGAGGTTGGTCTACTCTTTCGTAATGCGTATAGCAAAATAATGGAACAATTTGTCAGCATCAGTTTTCCCGTCCAGTTAATACATTAAGAGCGTTTTCAAAGCAAGAGTAAATAGGCAGTTACAAAGCTATTCCATTTACCATCTACGATTATATCTTTACTTACCATCTGGTAAGATAATCATGAAGCACTAATATTCTATCGAAATGTCACCATTCCGTATCTGCTTCGACAGCAGCAGGCGGTTCAATGTTAAGTTGTTACCACCGCCATTAGACCATGAGACCTATGTGGTTGTAGTTGAAATTACTTTCTGTCAGTTTTATGAGACCGTGGTAACTTCCCCTAATTGTCCACTCCTGCATCAACAGAAACTGTTGCCTTACTATGCTATAAAATTTCAGACACTTTTTAATATTGTTTCAGCCTTAAGATGGAAATAAGAAAAATATACAAATACTAGGTAGATATGACACTATCGCACCGAAACTGAGGCACTCAAATAACGCCAATTGGTGTTATTAGATTGCAACTCTATAGACTGCTATCTCTCTTCGTATAGCACGTTTTTTATCATCTAGTACATTCATTTATGTATGTCATATAATGTAAAGCGGAACAACTTTTAACGATGCACAGTACGGACATGGGTCATCTTTATAAAACACTAGTTTTTCGCCCGCGGCTTCGCTCGCGTTGAATAAATATGCCCTTAAATAAGTATCTTTTAACCCTTTACAACACTTTTTTTTTAATTAAGAATATGTCTATGTCCTTTCTCAGCATATATTACCAAATTTCATTTAAATCGGTTCAGTAGTTTTGGAGTGAAAGCGAGACGGACAGACAGAGTTACTTTCGCATTCATAATATTAAGTATGGATCATTGAAAAAAATGCGTAACATTAGAGAAAATATGAATAATTTAATTCGAGTCTTCAGTAAGATATGCTTTAAATGTGAAGCGGATGGTAATACTAACTGGTCTTAGAGCGCGGCTCTCGGGGACCATCGACGGTGACCTTGATGGCCTTGTTGTAGGTCGTCACCTGCGGCGGCGTAGTTGATATCGTTATGGTCAGCGTGAATGATTTTCCTGAAACAACGGAGGTTTTTATTAATACTATAACTTTTACAACATTCCTAATCTCTATGAACATAGAATCATTCTATCGTGTTGACACCTGAACATTATTGGCGGCAGTAGTTTGCTTATACAGTTATAATTAATAAGATCTAGAATTGACTTTAAAAATCAGCGTTTATCTTTCCTGCCGGGTTGGGCGTTTAAATTTTACTTATAACAATTAATTCGCATTCCTATTCTTAATTTTAAAATGGAATAAATTCTTATATTTTTCTCTTTACTAATCTTATACGTGAATTCGTATAACATTGGTACAAAAAAAATACTTTTTACAAGTTAGGGCAGGAGTCAATTAAAGCTAATTCCAAAAATATAATGATTGTTAAATAATACAAAACATTACACATTTAATTAATTTAAAACACTTGTGGAAACCAAGCAATATATATAATGAATTTACGAACGTTTTCAAAGCTTTCATCATTAAAAAAATATGAACAAAACCTATCATCGTTCGGGTAGGCTTTACTTCTTTATTTATTATAACCAGATATCTCTTCTAAAAAAAGACTTCGGGTTATGAAGATGTATACTCTTGGACGTTTTACGTCAATTAACGTGAAAGTAAAATACATTTTACCATGACGCGTTAGGACCCACTACAATCACCAGTCGAACTTTACATTTTATGTAAAAAGTGGAAACGTCAAATATTAATAAAATCGAATGATTGGAAAAACGTCCGTCGCAACTTTTATTCGGAATGACAACAGCTATAAATTTCATCTGTGGTCGCCACTGTTTTCGTCGGACGCCAACTTTTTGTAGTTCAATTTTGATCACTTGTTCGGTAAAGTTGAAAATTTCAATTTGCTCTCCGAATGATATTTTCAGGTTTCAGTTTGGGTTACCATTGCTTCCGATAAAAGTAATTGACCTCTCGGAACCCATAGACTTTTTTCACAAACCGTAGACCGATCGACGCGATGTGCTCGATGCGAAATAACTCCGATTGTGGGTGGCTCAGTAAGCGTTTTAAAATCAAAGCGATCGCCGTTGAAACGTTCGACGAGAGTCGCGTTCGGATCAAACAAAATAAGCACTCGAAACCCACTCGAAACAATCTCATTCCGGAGTGGTGAGCATGAAATGGCAACTCATCCGCAACACGTCAGCGAGCGTCACAAACAACGGCCGCGACCACTTCATCACGGCATAACGGCCGTTGAAATAAAAAAAAAACAAAAAAAAAAACATTTCCATCTGCGGGAAAACCGCAGTTAATATTAAATGAACGTCCGTCAAAGCTGTATTGTGTCGCTTTTCGCTGCGGGATGCAGCCGATAGCGATTTTGCAATTTTTCCACTGAACACCCCCCCGACCCCCCGGCGGGGGAGGGGGCGAGTGACATGTAAGCTTTAATGGGGCCCGGAGCGGGACGCCGCCGGTTACACGCGAAAAAAAAACCCGGCGGGGAAAAAAAAGCCTCATTCATACGTGATTTCATGCGTAGGCTACTTTCTGCGGGCACGGCTCGTTAAAAATGGACGGTGTACACGAGTCGGGCTTGTTGCGGCCTACACGAGTTTATTAACGGGCAGACGGCGACTGACACTTATGCCCTCAGGTCGGGCGTCACTTGTTACTCAGTTTGCAGGTTTTGGAGCGTGGAACATCAGTTGATATCTCATATCGGTTTGCGCTTACCTATTCAAGTGCGTGATATGATGAATTAACGTTTTTCTCTTATATATTTTAGCCGATTAACAAAGGTCGCCCTCATCATTATTTAGTTTTTAAATTGCTTCAGGTATTAAACAAACACCTTAATCAGTAATAGCCCCTGAATTAGGAATTTGATCTTGACAGTGGTCTGATGCTTTAAGTGCATTGTTTGTCTACGTTTTTTTTATGTGAAAAGTTGCCAAGCGAGCAGACGGTTCACCTGATATTAAGTGGACTGCCTACCATGGACATCGACTACACCCGAGGGTACCAGATGCGTTGACAACCTTTTGAAAAATTGAGGAGGAAAGTAAGTTTAATCAAGACTGAACTACGCAAGATTAAAATTTGCAAATTGCGCTATTAAGAACTGTGCGCTTTAGCAATTTTATGGGGGAAGTGGATAAGTTTCATTGTTATAAGCGAGTAAAGTGTCTCTCTTAAAAGAATACAGATGCACGTACGCACAGAACAAATAAGCGTTGAGCCTTAACACGAGTTTTTACTCCGAAACAGGATAGGAAACGAACGGTGCTCTACATCGATCCATCGATCAGGAACGCGAATGCAGCGCAAGAAGACACGAGTGAGCGATGTAGTGGCAGGCCAGCCGGCCGTACCAGCCGCGGCCTGCCACCGACCGCGACGCCTAAATAAATAACCCCTACTTAATGCGCCCGGCGCACGATAGCATCGCGCCGTTTTTACGACCCGACAATATCCGCACTCGCCCGCCGCGTATGTCCAATCGGCCGGGATTCGCTCGGACAATCTCTAATCTCTTTTTTTTATGAAATGTTGTCAAGGTGCCGGTTCAACTGAAGTTAGGTGATTACCGCCGCCCATGGACAGCCATGGGACGACCGATTAGATAGAGTGACGACCTGTGCAAAAGTGCGGAAGTCGATGGATGCAGGTGGCACAGGATCGTGCTTCGTGGCAGTCTGTGGGGGAGGCCTATGTTCTATGTCCTGTTCTCTGTCTTCAAACGGGCTGAAATGACGATTATGATGATGATTGACATCTGCAACAACTGTGGGCTTGTAGATGTTTTGACAACGTTTTAAAAATTGGACCCCGGTTACCTTATCTACCAGACGAAACACGAAACTTTAAGACTTTTACTTCACGCCGGTCTTCTGTGTGGCCCATCCTGGGAATCTACTGCGAAGCTTGTATGTTTTTAAGGGTTCCGTACCCAAGGGGTAAAATGGGATCCTATTACTAAGACTCCAGTTAAGTGATATTTAGACGGATGAAATTTACACAGATTATACAAATACTAAAAACAGAATTAAAAACATATTTAAGTGGGACTCTTACACAAAACACATGATATTTTTGCTGTTTTTATAGATAATGGTACAGGTTTTTTTCTGTTACCTCCGAGCAAATGGAACGTATAGGTAATATTGGTTAAATTGAGACACAGGTTTTATTCTGTTAAAAACTTTCTTATTTCAAAGTAACTACATGGGTAACGCATAAAAGCTATTAAGCCGTACTACATTTATCTATTTAATAAGAAGTTATGATTCTATTAAATAAGCAAATACTTTTATTAAATGAAGTTTAAATTATTTTCAAACAGACATTTATATCAAGCTAACTCATATCAGATTATTTTAAACAGGAAAGGTTAAATCTTTAAATATGCCAAAATATTAGGGAATTTAATAACAGTGAATTAAGCGGAATTTCTACCACCAGAATAAAGTTGAGGGATCATGTCTTAGTACCCAGAGTGTGAAAAGTTTTACAGAGTCTTTCAAATAAAAGCATAAAGACGACGAAGAGGGACGTTCATACACGTACATATATACAACTTATAGTAAGCACATTATCTTATTTCGTATTTACTGTACAAAAACGTACAACAACATTTGGCCAAATTTGAAAGTTATTTTTTTAACAACAATGAAATTCATTCGTGAAGTGTTATTTATAATTATATAACACATACTGATTTGCATTACGAATATTTATATACACATAATTATGACGGCCTTAAACAATTTTATGTAGTAAATGACAAAATTAAAGGTTTAATTATTTTTATTTCAACACTATATTAAAGAGTACATATGGCCTACAATAGATATATTAGTTATGAATTATCTTTACGAAATATCAGTTCCACAATTTTTAACCAGATTATCCGGTGTTTTTGGAAAGAGTTTCTGGTAACCGGGACCGTCGACACGAATGTTAGTGTGATCTGTGACAGGCCAAGTAGTCGACAAATATGGGCAAGTTTTTAACGGTACTTTCTAACGCCATTGCCTATTTGTTTTACAATTGCTTATCCCATAAAGCCAGTCTTACGGCCGTGGGTACTTCCCCGGAAGAGTCCATTCCTGTACCAATAAAAGCCTAAACAATGAAAATTAACTTTTCCATTTGATTAATTCTTTCAGTAGTTGTCATCCTATTTGGATCTCTGTAGAAGGGAAATCATTAGGCTGGATTTTTTTCGGAAATATAACTTGGTTTTATTAACATTATTTTACGCCAGATTCCATGCAGTGGCATAAAAAGACATCACCCAAGAATGTCACAGTCTCACAATTGGTCGGGTAACGGACGCAAACGGAAACTTAGCATTAGGTATCCCAGCATTTCATAACAATGCCTTATTAAGCTACCCTGTACAACTAGGCTAATAGACAAGGGCTTCGATTTTATAAAACACTCGCCTATAGTTCTTACACTGCTCCGAGTAATTATTAGTTGTTCCTAAGAATAAAAACCGGCCAAGTGCGAGTCGAACTCGCGCACGAAGGGTTCCGTGCCATTATCTATAAAAATGCAAAAAATAATCCATTCTGTTGTAGGGGAGGCCCACTTAAATTTTTTTTATTCTGTTTTATTGTATTTATTGTCATTGCGGCAACAGATATAAATCATCTGTAAACATTTCACTATCACGGTTCATGTGATAAAGCCTGGTGACAGGCGGACATACAGATAGACAGACAGAAAGCGGAGTCTTAGTAATAAAGTCTCGTTTTACCCTTTTGGGTACGGAAACAGTCATACTTGGTAAAAATTAGTGTTATATTATTTTTTCCAATATATTTGACGATTATCCTCAGTACTAATATTCTTAGAGAAAAAATAAAAGTCCCTATTTTGTTTGCTCCAAGCACTAGAGTGTTGACATGAGATTACAAGTTAAAAATGCAGCCGAAAATAAAATAAATCAAAATGCAATAAAATTATTCATATTATCTTCAACGGTGATTTGCCATAGATTCGAAATTTGCATTTGTATAAAATGTTTAATCACCAAGACGCTTTTTTCAGGTTTCAAAACGGATGAAAGTCAGAAGAAGTTTGAGCAATAAACGACATTTGAATGAAAACATTATTATGATGAATCAAAACTCTCTTTCTGGGCGATCGAAGATAGGGGGTGATTTGATTATTCACTGCTCCTTCGAATACTGCTAAAAAGGTAACAAATTAATGTTATGAAACATACTTTATAGACATTACTGCGTTTCCAAATTCAAATTCAAAATATCTTTATTAAAATAGATGAATTTTACAATCAATCGAATTTTACATAAAAATTTAATAAACAAGTTCGTATATAAGTTACCAATGGTTCTGAAAGCAGTCTTATTTTAGCCTAACGTGAGTATTAACAGTATTAACTCCACATATTGGCGTCGTCGAGATATTCCGCAATAGATTTATGGTTTTATATCACAACCTTTCAAATGAGCTGACATGTTTCCCATCCTAATGATATTTATGACTTGGCGTAACCATTACTCATTAACATTTGTCAAATAATGATAACATCATGTATGACATAATATGTATATTTAGCATCCTAATTAAGCTGTGGGTAATTTTTAAAGTTCATGGGAATTATGTCGTCAGTATGTTGCTTTAATTTCATATTAAGTTAGAGTATTGCACTTGTGTTGCAATTAGGGATTGCACTGAGCGGGTGGAGAGGAAACGGGCGGTGCTCGAAGTCGCACCGCGGATAGTGTCGCAACTTCGACGGTACAACACACGCCCGGGACGAAAGAAATGGACGGATAAGACAGCGAAGCGTTTTTCAAATGAAGCTCTGAATATTTGTGCAGACTTTAACTTCGTCGTGTGACTTGAAGTGACGGACTAAACTCCCAGTGGAAAGAATCGATGGAGTTTTATTATTTTCTTATATATCGTTTTTTGAAGTTACTTAAATAGATTAGAAGATACATCAATAATTGCACTATGTAGTTTATTATATACAATTGTATTTTATTAAGCCAATCATATCTATTGAGGTTTGCACGATAACATGTATTTGGAACGAGATTAAAGTTAAAAAAAAACAAAATACGATCGAATTGAGAACCTCCTCCTTTTTTGAACTCGGTTGAAAATATATTTACCGACATAAAGTTTGATGGAAAAATATGCGCGGCATCTCTAAACAATTTATAAAGAATGTCATGCTTGATATTGTTTTCATCGCCGTCTTTTGAGTTACTATTTGATGGCTGATAGAAGATACTAAGCATTTTCACATACATATAAACTATGCCGCGTAGTAGTTCTTCTAGTTGAAATACATGTAAATTATACCAGCTTTTCTTTGCAGTGTTTTGTAATAATTCTTCCTATGTTTCACAGACCATCCACACTTCCCTTTCGTGGCGCTCCGCCCGTACACGAAGTTCCCTAATAGCTGGATGCAATCCAATTTGACAGCTGTCAAATACACTCCTTGCCTTGTCAGTCGCGGCGATTAGAGCGCTACGTCGCCCGGTAACGATGTGCTAATGCCCAATGCTCGCTAATTGACTGAATTAATATGCTGATGTAAGCGGTGTCGCCGGTAATGTCTACGCCGTAAGACGCTGGATATCGGGGCTTACACGTGATTATTTGAGATCCTGTACCATATATATTAACTACTATCAAAATAGAGATCCGCTATTAACGTTATAAACAACAAATCTATAATGTGTTTCGCACTTAAGTCTAACTTAACGTCATTTCCGTGTTTAAATGTCTTATAATTTTGTTGTATGTTGTTTTCAAAACAAAGTAATTGTCAATACTCTCTATGCATTCTTATTATTTAACGTATTCAGTTAACTTTGTATTCTTTCAGGATAAAAAAACCCGAGCATAGTATCAACACATTGACAAAATATAAAATTATCAAATATATCTCTAAAGTTCGTATTCCTAAATGCCAAAAAGATAAAGCAAGACCCGAATAATTGCGTGTAAGTGGTAAAGTGTTACACGCGTCGATGGCTAATAGAGCGTGTTGCCGCAAAGCATAGTTACGCAACTTGTGGCCCCCGCTTAGTTAGCGCAACTACCCCGAAACCATAAATGAAACGGTAGTTTTCCATCGCGGCTAACCGGGTAACCGGTCGGCTGGTTAACCGGGCGGGTCGGCGCTCGGGTCTGCCGGTTAACCGGGCGCCGCCGGTCGCTGCGGCCGCGTTATGGTTGACAAGGGCCGGTTATGGCGGTCGCGTGCGTGCCCGCGCAGTCTACACGATGTTGCGTGTCGCCCCGACGATAACCGAACTTTCAACAGGGCTCGAATAAAACGCTCGCGTTTTCTGTTAACTTCCACATCCGTTTTATTCCTTTTGGCGTGGTAAAAAATTCGTATACAAGTGTGAATATTCAACGGGTGAATTTATAAGAGCACACCGATGCTTAATGCATCGATTCGCGACGCAGACGCCGTCGGGTGATAAACATCCGAACGGTAGGTGCAGAGCGCAGCTGCAATAGCAATTAAGGCTTCCTCGCGATCGTTGCGCCCAGACCGCGGTATATATTCGCAAAAGAACTCCTCAAAGGAAAATTTTTTATTCAAATGGCTACACGACCGCAAGCGGCGCGCGCCCCGCCTCCGGGGAAGACGCCGCACTCGGCAACTTTCCATTGGTTCGCGCGCGAGAAGGCGGTCCGCTTCTTCAAGTCTTGCCGGCGAGCGACTTTCCATTTGCACAGCGCTGAAATATCGCTCCAGATTAAAACGGAGTTCGGGCTGCGGTTACGGCCGAGACGGTGTTTTTCGTCGACACGCCTCGCGCGTATCCCATCGGTTTTTTCGTCTTCCTTAAATGTGCCCGCACGGTTCTTCTGAGAGATTATGAAAGGTTACATAACGCGGACGCTTGTATGCTCCTATGATTTGAGCCCGCTCTGAAACTACTCGAAGTTTGGCTTTAAAATAGGAGTTTCGCCTCGATAAGGTTTCAGAAGCGAAAAGTTCGCATTTTATTTATATTAAAATTAGCTTATGAAGTTCATTTGCGCGAGCGCACTTTTGTAATATTCATTTACTAACATTTGAAAAATAATTCAATCAAAAACAGTAATAATTCAAAATACTCAAAGTAACTTTCCTTAAACGTAACCTTGCTCCAGGATAACAGTCTAATATATTGTAAGAATTTTATATATATATATATATATATATATATATATATATATATATGCCCCAATTAATCAAAACAAGCGCGTATTATGATCAGGCCGTTTGGATTACACTAATACTAGTCCCGTGTAAGAATCGATCCCACGGCCCGTAGTGCCGCAGTTCGCCAATATCTACTGCCACAGCCATTAATTAATCATGAATAAGTCAATATTTTTGCCTCTATTCACTAGTAACCAAAAAGATTATATTGAACTAAGTGTATTCATGTGATCAAAATTATTAACATAACTCATATATATTATGTCATGATACGATAGGGTGAAATGATTGTTGAATATTGAATATTTGAAAATTGTCGATGAATTATTTTACGTATTTGAGTATTAACCAAAAATAAACTCATTTCATGGAATAACATCAAAGATGTCCTCTTTAATAAGTACATACTACCCGGATCAAAAATAGTTTTTTTTATGTGAAAAGTTGCCAAACGAGCAGACGGTTTACCTGATGGTTATTGAATACCGTCGCCCATGGACATCTGCCACACTCGTGGGTTACAGATGCGATGACAACCTTTTAAAAATTGGGCTCCGGCTACCTCACTCACCAGACGAAACGCGAAAGTATTTGTCATACTTCCACTTTACGCCGGTCTTCTGTGAGGTCGTGGTACTTACCCGGACGGGCCTGCGAACCTTAATTCTAACACACTACAAAAAACCGGCCAAGTGCGAGCCGGACTCGTGCACGAAGGGTTCCGTACCATCTATGAAAACTGCAAAGAAATTATGTCTGTTTTATGGGAGCCCCACTAAAATTTTTTTTATTCTGTTTTTTAGTATTTGTTGGTATTAGCAACAGACATGTAATATATACGTAATCTGTAAAATTTCAACTGACTAACTATCACGGTTCTCTGGCTGTATCTCGCCCGGTGACAGACGGACAAACAGAGAGACGGACAGAGAGCGGCGTCTTAGTAATGTAGTAGTGGTACCTTACGAACTTATATATAATTTTTTATGTAAAGCTTGACGATTCATAAGAACGCACAAGCGTCTATTTGAATAAAGGTATTTTTGATTTATTGATTGAATAGGGTCTCGTTTTACCCTTTGGGTACGGAACCCTAAAAATACAATTAGTTGACCTTTAATATCGATTTCAGAGGTGCCTTCTTAGAGCGATGACAGCCACTCGATTTCCATTGGGTTTTCTCATTTCAGGGATGACCCTGCCAATGGGCGTATGGCTATGAAGCCATACGCCTAACTTTCGCCTCCTATTAATTTTTAAATTTGCGACATGAATTCAGATTTTTCTAGATGTTGCGTCAACTCCATGCCAACTGACACACGAGTTCTTCAAGATTGCGGAAACAAGTTTCGCACTAACTCGTCTCATCTGCAAATCATCGGTCTAAATGCTAAAGCATCGAACTAAACATCTCGCACGCAACCATGGAACCAACCGAATACTCATGGTGAATGACATGTACCATTTCCTCTTATCTTATTTTCCTATTATTCTTTCAATAAAATAATTTTTAATAAAGAATGAGTATAAATTTACTAATACGCACTTTAATTGGATGTACACTTCAAAGGTAATGAACATTTTATAGTTATACGAATAATCTCTGATTTTAACCTAAAAGGAAAAATTTCATGCGAGCTGCCCCAAAGGCCTAGTTTATATCACTCACATACTTGCAAAAACTGCAGGGGAAAAATCGTATAAAAACAAATTAAGCGTTAACAGCTCAATCGTTACAACCTACCAACAAATCTCGAGAAAAATTACGGGTTTGTTAAATAAATTATTAAAGTTTGTAAATACCCACAATAATAAGAAATCGAATTTTCAATCCTATTTTTACACATAATGCCGTTAACACATAAACATAAGACAGACAACTGTTTTCTTATAGTTTGACAAACAAAACTGTATTTAGTCTCCGTCAACCGTAACGTGGAACGAGGTAGTGTTCATCCGTCTTCTTTAAGTTTTTTAAATTTTATTTTACAACCAATTCGTATCACATAAATTAGTTTTTAAAACTAATCAGTAACGCCCACTGTATTAAAGGGTGGTAATGCATTGCCAACCGTACGCGTTTTGCACATGTCAATGGGCGGTTATCACTTAACATCTGGTGAACCGCCAGCTTCTTGCCACATTCTCATATGAAAAAAATCATGGAATTTCTTTCATTTCCAACACATCTAGATTCTATCGCAATGCCTAAAGCGGCGATAGTTCAATGATAAACGCTTGTATAGTATTAAAACTTCATTAGTGACAGTTTTAAGTGACTTCAAAATTCTCGTTGCTGTCCCTATTCTGTAAGAGAGCGCAATCATAGGTTCTGTTTTAGTTTCCGAGTAAATTGTTACTATACGGAAAACTCAATTTTCGTTAGCATAAATAAAAATGGTTTAAAATGTGTAGAAAAGTTTTTCGCCGTTTTGGGGATTTTAACCGAGTCATGCGCCCGACGAAGAAAATTACTTTTCTTTATATTATCAAATTTATTAGGTACATTTCTTTATAAAACCCGTGTTATTGCAATATGCTAATTAATCTATGACAAATATAGACCAAACTGTTTTGGTGGAAATTCAATTCTTGTATTTTACAAATTTGACCCAAAATTTGTAAAAGACACGAATATCAAACTGAGACTAAATTAAGAAAAGATTAGCAATATAAAGAATTCATGCATTAAATAGATGCTTCAGTAATTCCGAACAAAAGAATAGGAAAAAAGGGATAAGAAAACGCAGGGAAGCTTTAGAATGCTTTTCGACCTGCTCAACACTGTGCTGCTCAAGCCATCATTTCATCTTCATCTTCATCATTTTATGTATGAAATTAAAATACTATAAAATACTCTTAAAGAGTCTTAGTAATAGGGTCCCGTTTTACCCTTTGGGTACGGACCCTAAAAATCAATCGGTACCGCAATGTGAGGCTCCGGTCCAAATTCCGGCTTCTTTACCTGCGATATAATATAACTTTTTTTTACTTTTTCGATTCGCATTATATTATTTCTATAGAGGTCACGGCTTCTTTACCAGCGATATTACTTTGTTTTTACTTATTCGATTCGCATTAATATATATTATTTCTTTGGAGGTCACGTTACGGCAAACATGTAATGTAATTATTAAAATTAAATAAATAGAGAGTTTTCAATTGGCTGCTACTTTTAGAGTAATTAAGTTCTAAAATATATTTCAGAAATTTAATAAAGAATGTAATTTTTCCTGAGATAGTAACTTATTCCTTTTGTATTGGCTACGTCTTCTTACATCGAATGCTTCTGTATTCGATGTAAGAAGTAAACATAAAGTTAATAATAAGACATTTAACGTCATCCGGAATTACACATGTATCGTATTACTTTTTAATTTCGTTTAAATGTAACCCGTTATAAATACTGCAGACGTCATATTATCGTTTTAGTTATTCTGCGAGCGGTGTATAGACTACGCATGACATACCGCTGTAAGCGAGATCGGGGGAGCGATGTAACAACGTTTGTTGGTACGCGTATTGGCAACGCGTTTGCTATTTGAATGCTTATAACACGCATTGTATAGATTTGTTTGGAGTACGCGAAACCACGCAGTACTCGGGACTTTTCAAAGCTTGTTTATTTTTTTATTTTAGCGATATCGCAACATCGTAGCTACAAGATACTTGAGTGAGCTTCTGTTTGCCTCAATTTCTATACGAGACACAAAATAAACTTTTGATACTTCGAATTGGCGTTAATATTCCGTGAGGCCGTGTTACTTTGAGCCGATTTTTGCAAAGAAACTACTAGAGACTAACGACAGTCAGATTGAAATTGGCAGCAAATCGTTAAAAGCCATTTCAAGTAAGAAATTCTATACAAGTTCACAGCCATTAGTAATGTAATGGTTAATAGGATACTTTTTCTGTTCCTCAGTGTTTTCTGGGTTGACACGTTCCATTTGATTTGATGATGCAAACTGGAAAAAATTTGGTGTGGCTTTCGGAACTTTAAGAGAATTTGTATGATTAATGATTTTACGTCCCTTTCAATAGAATACGAAAGCGGCGAATTAATTCCAGCGGTAGTGATGGTGTCAGTTTTCTTCAATGAAATAAGGATTAACCAATGTATTTCTTTATGTCTTTTATCTTTTTTATTTAAGAATATGGAAAGCGTGCTGGATGCCGCTTGATGTTAAGTGATAACCACCATCCATGGACATTTGCAACACCCGTAGGGTTGCAGATGCGTTGCCACCTTTAATAAAGTGGGTTCCGGTTTATTTTATTCATCTGAGGACACGGCGAAATACAACACTTCCACTTCACTACGGTCTTCCGCAGGGTCGTAGTATTTCGCCATGGTCCTTCGTGCAAAAGCGAAGACTGTTGCTTGGCCCTACCACAGCATCAATTCGAAATTTTAATGTAATTTTAATGTACAACTACATAAAATTTATCTTTTTATTTTAACGTATATAAACAATAGACATACGATAATGAATAATACGATATGAGGACGCCATATCACGATATTATTTACGGATTGAATTAAATCCTAGAACATGTGTAATCTACACATGTCGTCATACTAGGCATAACATGTCTATATTTATGGGAGTTTTATCTATGGGAGTTTTAATCCCGTACTCGATCGTAATGACACGCACGATGGAGGGTTGAAGGTTCCCATCCATTGTCATACAATGACAACCATGGGGTAGGAAGCGTTCATCGTATTATTTGTTTTAATTTGACGGACCTAATTATATACCAGCATAAAAGTTGGTGTGACTGTGTAGATAGAAAGATTAAGTTAGCACGGGCTTTAACCAAATGTTAACCTAAATTTGGGTGGTAGGTAACCTAAATTGTGTCGATGAATATTCGTTATCAGAGATAAGTTGAGGAAATTTTGAACGATGCGGCACGTGTTAAGTATGGCAGCTTTTTGTAAAGTTACGTGTATGTGTTTAGGTAGGTCTAGTAATTTAAGAGAGTTATGCAAAGTTTTAGGTATAATGCCCGTAGTGGATATAATTGTAGGTACTATAGAAACTCTGTCCAATTTCCGCTCTTCTTATCCTCCTGTAATTCGGTGTGTTTTCTTATTTTTTTTAAAGTATTATTATGTATCAAAAATTGGTTTATAATTCATTTTTGTTTTTTATTTCTTTATATTATGTTTTCAAAGCCAGAATTAAAATACAATAAAAAGATTAAAAATGCTCGAGTCTGATTGTATTCAATTGAGTTGCCTCTTTTAAACACAGCTAAAAAGGTGGTGAAAATAGAAGGTAAATGTAGAAATTAAATGATATCACATTTTCCTTATACATTAAAATTAATTAAATAAGTATTGAATTTTGTCCATCGATAGTTCCATCGCGTTTTTCCTTATACATTAATTATGACAACTATTTTTAAATAAAACACAATCATGTCACTAAGCGAAATTTATGTAATTAAGAACAAAATTTTAATTGAACTTTATTTCCTCTTACTAGAAATTTGTTAATTGATTAAAAAGAAATATTTATAATTATTAGTGTACTAAATAATTGGTGTACTTAATCATGTGCTTATCACATTTAGTGTTGCGTCATCATTTTGTTTTAGGATTAATTGGAAATGCGGCAACAAAAACCGTTTAAGTAACCGGAAACTTCGCAAGAAAAGGGCGCGAAGAAAGGCGGTCCCTCCCTATTTGACATTCACCCGAGTTCCTCAAGGTGCCCGTAAAAAGTTTCTAATACTTCCCAATGTCACGGACTTTTCCCCAACTTGTAAAAGTTTCGCGGAACATTTGAATGTGGCCTGTCCGAGTGGTTGCGCAATTATGCTTTATTTTCGTATCGCTTGCGGTTTTGATTTATCGCTTCTCGGTCTTTGAGAAATTTTGGAAAATTAAACGGGGAAAAAACTTAAATAGGGTATAACAGGTAACTTTCGGTTATGCAAATCTGCGTTGTGTTTTTTTAATTATTGGTGATTTAATTATGGTTTTCCTCAAATATTGAACTCTAATGTATTTCTTAATGTATTACAATTAGAAAATAGTATGAGTATATGTAGTAGATTATAAAATATATATAGGGGTGCTAATTTAATATAAATTTTTAATGTATTTAACATTTTTAATAAATTGACTTCTTGATTTTACGCGAATATTATACATGTTAAATAAAACTATTTTACGGATTTTATCGCGTTTTTATTTCGATTTTGAAACTCCCGACGTTTTGAATCATTTCCAAAAAATTAATAAATTTAATATTTTTAATGCAATCAATTTGTGGTGTTTAGGTACACACTATTTTTTTATATCATTTGTGGCGCAGTGCGATTTGTGGATATACTCAATGTGTAACAATAACTGCACCTTCGGCACTCACCGCGACCGCTGCGGCCGACGAATCTCAGGTCGTTGAACTTCGCCACCTGGTTCTTCATCACCGCCGAGCTGTTGCGCAGCTCCGCGCAGCAGTTCTCGTCGTTGCCGGCGCGGACGGTGACCAGCGTGCCGTCGCCGACGTCGCCGAGCGCCACCACCTTGAACGCCACCGGCAGCGTCTTGTTCGAGCGCCAGTGCGGCGGCAACACCGTGCACACGAAGTGCGGGCTGCCCGTCCGCACCAGCTCGCCCGGGTGCTCCGATAGGAAGTCGCCCAGCGTCCTCTCGGCGAGGATGTCCGACGTCATCTTCGTGTACGTCTCGTGGAGGAGGGTCGAGCTGGTGTCCGGCGACACGGCGCCGCTAGACGCCCCCGTCAGGTGCATCCTGGACACCCGCGAACGTTGCGTGCTACACATAGAGTCCGCTGCACACGCCGCGATCGCTACATCTCACTTCACATTTCACACTGCTGACGCCTGCCGCGAGGACAGCCCGTCCGCCACTCTCATAGTGACACACGCGGCCCGTACTACGCTTAGGAGGGCACGGTGACGGGATGCGGTAGCACGTTGCTAGGGAACGGGCGCGTGGCCACTTGATGCGGTGACGTCACGCTGCGGCCTTGCCACACTTTTTTCCCCGGTGAATGAAAAGTTCGGCGGCGGGCGGGCGGGCGGCGCGGGGCCGATTTTTTCCGGCGCCGAGGGTGACTCCCCCGCGCGAGCGGCCGAAAACTTTTCCCGCTAGTTTCGACGGGGCGCACTTCGGCCGGTGCACGCGGCAGTGCGCGCGTCGCGCTTTGGCCGGCGCGCGGGAAGTTCGCTCCGTTCGAATGTTAGTTAACTTGTCGAGTTCGACGTCGGCGTTCGGCGCGTGTGAAGTGCGTCCGCGTGCGTGTTGCGACGCGTGCGTCGGGTTCCGCGGCCGTGTCGCGACTCGCGGCGCGTGGGGCCCGTACTTGCGGTGTCCGCCGGCGGTGGCTATTAATACGCGGCGTACGTCCGCGCCCGTCGACTTCGGGCAAAGTTTCGCGGGCGAGTCGGTGCGCCGGCGAGCGAGAGGCGGCGACGGCGCGGGCGCGGCGGGCGGCGGAGCGCACTTTGCGGTCGGGGTGGGTTGGGTTTAAAGCCGCCGAAGGATAAAACATACAAATAAACACGTGTTCGCGCCGGCGCGAGCGAGAGGTGCGGCGCGGCCGGGCGAGCGAGCGGGACGGACGCGGCGTTTGCGGCATTTAGCGGCCGATCGGCCAGCCGGCACCCGCCTGCCGTAACACCTCCAGCAGTTCCCGCCGTCCGTCGATGACGCCGCTAATACTTTTCAAACGTCGAAAGTCGCAATGTCAACTTGAGGCCGCGTAAATTTGATGTTGACAGTGATTTTTCTTTTTTTTTCTTTTTGGTAAAAGTGTTAAAAATTGTTTGACCTTCTCAATCATTTCATAACAATAAATATCTATCTAATTTAGTCCACTTGTATAGTGTAATAATCGTGTTAGATCCTTATTTAGTCTTATCAAACCAGTGTTAAAAATCTATCATAATTTAGACAGATATTTAATAGAATTAAAACAAATTTTTCTTCATTTAAAAAGAAAGTACAGTGCACAGATAAATAATCGTTGACAATTTGGTATTTATTACGAATATTTATTAACGAAAAGGTTTTAATATACATACTTGTTATTATAATAAGTTTTATGAAAAATTTTAATTTTTAATAAAAGTAGTTCACGTATTTTATCGCTGTTTATTTTTATTTTAACTAATCAAATATTCAAATACTTTATAGCAATCATGGTCACGGAACTGAAGTCATTATGTAATAAACTCGTAAATAAAATAAATCATTAAACATCAGGGAAATTTACAAAACAATCAACTAATATGAACTCACATCATTACATCATGCTTCAAATGGATTTTGTTAAAACTTGTCAAAACAAAATTGTGAGCAACCAAATTACAATCGTCATATTCGAACCCTAAGCTCCCTTAACCTTTAATCCATGAGTTAGTGAATACACGTGTACAAGTAACATGGCCTACCTAAAAGTTAGGGGTGTCGCGTAGCAAGTTAACAAAGCCCGTTAAACGTTGCCGGGATACCTTCGTGGTTGGTGCTTGCGATTTCGTCTAGGTTTAAACTCGTTAAGTTAGGCCCTGGATAACAAGTTTAGCTCAGCGAAAATAGAGAGTCAGTGGTGATAAAAGAGACACCTTAGCGGTGCCAGGTGCAGCTACACGTCTGAACTATTGATAGCTTAGATGTGTGGCTATCTAACTGGCGATGTGTGGGTTACTTTTAATTAAGACTACTCAAAGAGAGAAGAAAGAAAAATACGTATTTTATTCCGATACACACAAATTTCAAATTCCAAACGTGAAAAAAACATGACATAACAAGAGAAGTATATTAGGTAGGCATAAAAAAATTTAAAAATTTGAATGATACTCCCAATCACAATGGTAGCTTACGAACGTATTAATTTCTATATAAAATTTCAACGCTTCATAAGAACGCGCATGATTCTATGTGAATAAAGATATTTCGAATTTTGAATTTGAATATGAATCAGTCATGATTTTGAAATTAAATTGTTATTATAAGGAATGCGGTTTCAACAAACAACTAAAGATTTTAAACTGTGTATTACTCAAAACCTGTGGTAGGGCCACATGCTTCTGTTGTTATACGAATTGCCAATTCGGTTCTCTCGAGGAAGGACCACGCCCTCAAAGAAGACCGGCGTCAATGAGTAACAGCGAATTCAAATGGTTAAATAATTTGTTCGGTACATTTAATAATTATTCACCAAGTATTTAAGACTTATAAGATTAATAATATTAATTCAATCATCATCATTATTTCAGCCTGTTGAGTTCACTGCTGAACATAGGCCTCCTCCAGACACTCCCACGAAGTATGATCCTGACGCACCTGCATCCATCGACTTCCCGCAAATTTGCACAGGTCGTCACTCCATCTAGAATCTAGTGGTTCGGTTAGTGGGTTCGGTTCTACGAGCTATGTCACCAGCCTATCGCCTCTTTAGCTTGCTTTTAATTCAATGCATAACATTAATTTTAAAGAATCAAGAAAATATTTAAACAAATACTAATTTAGCTTTAAAGTTTATAGAAACAATGGACGAAAAGTTTTTCGCTGCTGTGTGAATCGAAACCAAGGTTTCGCACACGGACACAACAAAAATTTTATGTTCCAACTTACGTTCAGATATTAGCACTATTAAAAATCATTTAGCTATAGATATCGTTATAATTTTTAGAGAAATATTCCGATTATTAGTGTATATATTGTTTGTTCATAATGAAAAAAATTACATTTACCATAATTATTAAGATAAATGTCTTGCCTATTAAACAATTACATAACATAATTATAATTCATTAGATAGAGACTGTTCAAGTGAGCACAGAGATGATTATATTTATGAATAATAAAAAATCAACATACATAATAATGAAGCAAGTGATGTTTTCCCTCAAAAACTTTCTAAAGTGACAACTAGTTGTTTACAAGTGCTCTTCATGTTTAACTTTTCATGCTTAAATCAATCGTGTTCCGTCTACTATCACGTTAAGAAAATCGCCAGTTACAATGCAGTAAATCTCGAACAACAATGCATTGATATTAAACTTTACAACCCTCCTGTTCGCCTCATCGTACCGACTCAATCGCGGTGTTCGAAAACAGTCTTTATCGCCTGACATTAAGGTGCTTCGCACTTAGAATCGTTGACAAATCTCTCCCATTTCATTTCGTGTCATGTTCGGTCCTCCTGCTAGCCATTAGAGGCGCCCATTGCAGCTGTCATTTCACAAGCAACCTGACGCAAGCTTTATTCGCGTCTTAGCGCCAAAATAATGATACCGAGCGGGATTAAAAGCAAATTATATTTATTTGCCCGCGTAATGATGCGGTTCCTTATGAAAAGCGAGTAAAAGAAAAGCCATTACGAAAGAGCACGATATAATAAGAAGTCGTGAATGGAGAGGACTCTGAATTTTGTCAAGGATTTCTTGGAAACATCTTTTTTTATTTTGCTTCTTTAAAAACTTTCAGGTATGAGGTTTTCAAGTTCTAATAAAGGATACAGCAAAGATTCGTATTTAGTATTGAATATTAAAGAACGGTTAGAAGAAGATAATCCATTAATGAACCAGTGGGTTATTTTCCTTCTACAGTTGTACAAACGTAATAATAATTAAAAAAAAAAAAAGAAATAATGTGTTCCATGCTTACTTTTATAAAGTAGTATGTTAAACCTTTGCGAAATACCATTTTCATTCTATAAGGTACTAAACTGGTACTAAATGGTTGTCTTTTTTCATTTATGTTTATTGGGAAATGAACGTCGTACGGCCACGGGTTATAAGACTTTAAGGCCCTAGACTGCATAAAGTTTCCTCCGGCACAGAGCACGTGGAAAGGAAGAGATGTTGTATAAATTATAAGGTGCGTTAATAGCCCACCTTTTGGTACGAAACATGACTCATGGATTTGCAATGTACTACACATGTCGTCGCTTGACGACGCGATTGGCTTAGTGGATAGTAAACCTGTCTCTTGCGCCAGAGGGTGTGTGTGTTTGGTCCCCACTACTGGAAAATATTGTGTGATGAACATAGTGTTTTTAATGTCTAAGTTTCAATGCAGTTTTAATGCATGATATGTATTTATTTCGAAAATAAAAGTATGTTTAAATATTTATCAGTTATCTAGTACCTATAGTACAAGCTTGTTGTATAAAATGTGTACTAAAATATTTATTTTTATTATTTGATTGCTCCTAAACGTAATTGATTTCCGCAGCTAGTTTTCGACGTTTAATCCAAATTTACTCTTTGGATATAATTTTGTCACTTTAATGTCAATTATAATATCTATTCAAATATATATTAGATCATTAAGTGGAACGAGAAACTTTCATAAATTATTAAAGACATAGTTTTCAAATAACGATAACCTTGACGTTTAAATTAAACGGTGTCCAATTTCAACAAGTCACAATGGAAGTTTATAAAACTATTATCTGTATCAAATGTTTAGTAGTGATAAATATTTCAGCAATGCATGTCGGCATCTAAATCGGCATTCGATGAATAATTAATGATAAATTAGCGCTGTTGCAAGTGCTTTATTAATACGGAATAGCTCAAAGCCTCGACGGAGTATAATAAAGCTATGCAGATCGTCGGTCCGCTGAGCAAATATTGAACGAGGCTCCCTTACAACACAAAATCAAACCTTTTATTTAAGTCCGTGCACACAGAGGGCACATTGTTTGCGAGGGCTAAGGGCCGAGGGAGATAGTTCAACAACCCTTTGGCTGACCAGAGTATAAGCAGCCTCCGCCGATTAGAAAATTGTATTTCGCTTTGCCCACGCCGCATAACTTTCATTGAATCCCGATAAATTTATCGGATCCATTCGGCTCTAACGGGTTTTGGCAATACAACACTCTATCTTGTCGAAAATAAGGACTCGATTTGTCCAAAATGATTTTCCTGTAATGCTGTATTAATACTTTGAGTATCCTTATATATTTCTACAATACATGAATTTCTATAAATTATTAGTAGGATTGATAATACGTATTTATATTTTATTATAAACTCTATTTAATAGTTGTTTTATATTTAAATTTTAGAGTTAGAGTTTTATTTTAGGTTAATTGAAAGATTTCACTAATGTTAATTAATATGATATGTTTCATAAGGAGTTATTTATATTTTATTATTTATATATTATATATACATAGTTTTAGATTCTTTATTTCAATAATCTTACAGAGCTATATCATTAATAGATATGTAGTTTAACAATGTTTGGGTCCCTTAACTTAATTGTGATAAAGGTCGTCTTTATTAATACAAAATGCCGTCTAAAACCTTCATGTAACGCGTAAGCGGGGGTCAAAAAGATATGTTTAGTAAGGCATGTCATATTTAGTAAGGTTCATTCAGGAACCTTACTAAATATGGTGGGCGGCGGTAATCACTTGAACCGCTATTGAACCGCCGCCTGTGAACTGGATATTTGGTTTCTTCTTCAGTTAGAAGTGACGTTTCCACCGTGCCATAGTTAATTCTTTGTTTGCAACTATTTCTTAAGATATCATGTTGATGATCTATCATTGCTATTTTTAAGGTTCCGTTCCCAAACGATAAAACGGGACCCATTACTAAGATTCTGCTGTATGTCTGACTGTCTGTCTTTCTGTAAGTCTGTTCGTTTGCCTATCACCAGGTTGTGATAACTAGTTAGACAGTTTAAGTTTTCACAGATGATGCATTACTGTTGGCGCTATAAAATCAAATACTAAAAAACAGAATAAAAATATTTAAGTGGGGCCCATACAACAGAAATGATTTTTTTTACCGTTCTTATAGATAATGGCATGGAACCCTTCATCGCACTGGATCGGTTTTTTAATTATATTTGTATGTATGTTTTTAAATATATTATATTTATATTTCTCATTTTGAGAAGCAAAAAGTATAAAGTTAATGGTAGGATAGAACATATGAGAAAGACAAGTCATATATGTCAACGGTAGTCAATCGGAATTATTTTGTTTGAAAATTAGATTTATATTTGTAATTTTTTTGGCAAGTAAAAAAAAATGTCCCGCTGAGTTTCTTACGCCGGTTCTTCTCAGGTCAGTGGCTTTCCTTCCGAACGGGTGCCGGTGGTAGAGTTTTTTGACTATCAATAAGTAAGTGAATGCTTCTATATTGAATAAAGATATTTGACTTTGACTTTGACTTAGAAGACCCATTAGAGTCCCACAATAGTAAAAAATTAGGACAGCCAGAAAAATTCTTCTGCATATGATTACATTTGCAAACCACACTCACCATCATGTAGCAAATCCACACATTCATAACATTTAACATTTTGTATAACATAAAAAATACAGTAGTATAATTTACATCATAGGAAAAAATAAAATACTAAACGACTTACTACTACACGAGCAACTTTCAGTTTAAAATAACAGAAAATTTTAAAGCAATTAAATGAATTATTTAATTTTGTTAAAAGTTATCAATCGAGCTGTTTCGGTTCACCTGATATTAAGTGATTACCGCCGCCCATGGACATATACAACACCTGAGGCCTTGCTTACTTAGGTGCGTTGGCAACCTTTGCAAAAAGTGGTCCCCAGTTACCTCACTTACCGGATGATATGCGAAAATGTTATATTCCCACTTCACGTCAATTTTCTAGACGTGATACTTCTCCAGATGAGCCTGGCTATTCGTGCAACAGTTAAAGCTACTACGTGGCTCTATTTTATTTTATTTTTTTTTTTCGGTACACAAAACAGCAAACAGTAATATTCACATAAATATAAAGTTAAATATGGTAAACAATTACATATTGACAGTCAAAAATATGCGTACACAACATGCTTCGATATCATGGCAACAATGTTTTATCCTTAATTCACATTAGATTAAAAAAAAGTAAAAACAAAATTAAAAAATTATAAAAATAAGAAAATAAAAAAAACATATACACATTATGGGCATGTGATACTTTCTTTGAATGTACTCAGTTTTTGGTAGAATATATCTATGGAATGATTGCTGCTAGCAAGTTTATTGTACATACATTGAACACATTCTGTAAATTGGGTTATTTTGAGCGAACTTAATTGTGCTATATAGTATGTGAAATAGGCTCTACCACGGTTACTGTACATTGAATCAGCGCTTTCGAGATTTTATGTAAGAGCGACATTTTTAAGTAAACTCAAGTAACCTCAATACGATATTATGACTTATTAATATAGTTTTTGAAAGAAATTCCGTCGATATACCTAATAATTTGAAGCGATCGATTCTATTAGATAAATAGAATTGCAATAAATATTTAGAGGCTAAAATCGGGAATAACAAAAGGGTGGTATAAGCCGGGTAAGCAGTAGCATTTAGCCGCCAGATTGCAATAAACACAGCGGAGTGGACGCGTAGCCCGCTGCTACGCCGGACACAACTGCCTAGCACAGAGGAAGCAATACAGTCGAATAGTAATACAATTATTGAATAATATTGTAACAAAATATTAAAGAACAAGGATTGATATAGACGTAAAAAAATGTAAATTACAGAAAAATATAATTCTAAATTTATTTATTTGTATAATTTCATTTATAAGGGAAATAACAATTTTAAATATAAGATTATTATTATTATAATATAGATTATTATTATTATAATATATTATACATTTTTATCACTAAAAACCATGATTCCTTATTTGTAACGATCATATTGTTAAAAAAATCTTTCAAGATTTACAAAATTTTGCTGAATACATGTCACTGCGTATATCAGAACGATATTTATTTTTGATGATTTTAAAAAACATCTTTTTATATAAATATAAATAACTTTAACATACATATAAAATTATTCAAAAACATCATAACAAACAGTAAGAGCCTTTATTATTTTATCATGCATATAAATATCTACAGATTATTTATAACTTTATGCTACATAATCGGCAAAAGCAATCAATATTATCGTGATATGTAAATGGATTAATCAATGGACACTAATGGGAATCATACTTTCAACATCAGTTCGCATTTTAACATAAACTTATAGCCTTTGCTGTTCACCCTTCATTATTCCAAAGTCCAATATTTGCACGAGAAGCACGACGACTCCACTGCTCGCGCACAAATGCAAGGTCCTAGTCCGTCGCCCTCGTTAGAGAAGCTCAAATTAATGCAGGCCATTCTCCGGCTGACGCCCGCCCAGTTGTTCTTAAATCTAATTACCATCCCGCACCCGCTCCCGCCGCCGCCGCCGCTACCGCGACCGCTCCCACTATGCGCACAGACTGATTAATCGCTCTACCTACACGTATAATGTTGCTTTGACAATAACATAGGAGAGCCATTGAGGCGTTGTTTCGGACAGCCGAGCGTTTGGGGCGAAAGTGCTTGCTTACTTGCATATTTGGGTCAGCTAAGGTCCGTTGTAATCGGGTACTGAAGCGTCGTACGGTGACCGAATTAGAATTCCTAGAATGTTTACCGTTGCCGAAAGTTATAGACGCGTATTTAATTAATTCGTACAAATATGGTTCTGCTGATGAGTTCAGTTAAGCATTTATTTAATGCAGTATATTTTTTTTTTGAACAATAGACTAATTTATAAAACTGAAAGTTTTGATATTTTTTTAATTGTCGTGTGTATATCATAAATTCTTTATAGGATAATAAATCTATAGTTACTACATTCTTAGTTATTAATTTGTATTTATTTTTCGAAACCACAATAAAACATTAAAATATGCAGTTCCATGAACGATTCATAACGATATCATGCTAGCAATTGTAATTATTGAAAAGAATCGTAAATTGGTTTCTGGTGTAGCAGCATAGCCTTCCTCAGACAGTCCAATTAAAATATTTAGGCCTACCTACGTGTATGGCGAAACGCTCGCTTTAAAGTCCGCGCGAAACTTTTTAAACTTCCGCAAACATGTGAGGGTGCGGCTAAAAGAGAAGTTGCCGCCGAGTTTAGAATTGTTGCGACGAAAAAAGAAACTTTAATTTTGTACATTTTAAAACGAAAGTCGGCCTCACTCTCGAGGGATAATGGCTTGGACGTGTAGGCCCTTTTGTGCAGAGACACCAGTAAATGCACGGTTGATGTACGTATTTCACGGCAATCAGCCCCTTTGTAGTATTAATTGTTTGATATTAAAATCAATCAAATTTAATATTAAGCGTTTCTGACATGTAACAACAATCTTATATACTTATAATTAATTTCTCCCGACTGACTATCAACGCACAGAAAAATCTAATAAGTCTAGAAAGCCGAAGTACCTATAACTTTATTTTTATGTAAGAAAGGATTTTTGCATAGGTCAAATTTAATAAGGATGGGGTGGGGGATTTTCTAAAAGAAACCCTTTAACGGGGGATGAAATTTAGTATGTGAGTAACGAACTTCAAAATTGGAACTTCATCCATTGATCGTAAAGAAATAATATTGGGTTTCTTCTTCAAATTTGAAGGAGGGTAAACGGCTGCTGATAGTTTGTAGAGTAGTATTGATTTTTATCGGATTTTATATTTAAGTATTTTATTTTTATTATAAGAACTATACGTAACAATTCAAGTAAGATTCTACTTGATTTCAAGTAAGATTCTTCTGCTCACATGTTAATTAGAAAAATTGTGTAAAATGAGAATTAAAAATCCATTTTGATTATTATTAAATGACCGATTAACCTAGTTATTACAATTTTAAATGTATATGTATATGCAAAAATCATGGAAAAAAAAAAACACCAAAGAGATTAATTAAGAAAAACAAATATAAATATATTAACATAGCAATCTATAGTATAAAAATCGATGCGTGTATAAACGGTATATATGCTCCCAATGGTCACCAAAACGTCTAGGGCGGTTTTGACAAAATTTTCAAGCAATAATCAGGTCAGCGAGTGATCCTGTGAAGTTTTGGTGTGATCCGAACAACATTTTTTAGGGTTCCGTACCCAAAGGATAAAACGCTATTACTATGATTTCGCTGTCTGGCTGTCTGTCCGTCTGTCACCAGGCAGTATTTCATATCGGCATAGTTTGACATTTGAATTTTTTTACAGATTATGTATTTCTGTTGCCGCTATAACAACATAATTTACTAAAAAACAGAACAAAATATTTAAGTTGGGGCTCCCATACAACAGAAATGATATTTTTGCCGTTTTTATAGACTCGTAATTGGCCGGTTTTTATAATTAGAGCTACCCGTGCAAAGCTGGGGTGGGTCGCTAATATTGCATAAGGCTTAAATTGACGCTATAGAGTCGTTTATTACTCGAACGTTTTGGATTTCTCTCTTACTATCACTTGTATGACATAACTGAAGACTTAGAATCTCTGTATAATTTTAAGCATACTGAAATTTTATCAGGCCACGAACTTTGCACATTCTCATTAGCAAAAATAACTGTAGGCTAACAAATACATACGGAACATTACCTACGCTTCCTGCCAAGACTGAAAAATTCCTGAAAATAATAAAATATTCCGCAAGCACAGCGTTTCTTGTATTATGGGCCTTATGGCAAACGGGGCAAGGTGTTGTTTTACAATAGTATTAGCAACCCGTACACATACCTGGAGCGTCGCCTTTATAGGATGCTTCGCGTGGTTTCTTGGGCGAGGAATCCGTGCGCAGACAAAAAGTGCCTCGTCGACGCTACAAACGGAAGGGTCACCGGGCTCGCCCTCGATGCTCGTTAACGAAGCCAGTGGCCCCCAAACTTTCAAGTCGTATTCCAAATATTTAAAACTGGCTGACACCAGCAACTACCTCTGCGTCGTTATGTTGTACGATATTAACTTAACTAAACAGATTGCCTCGCTTCTCCGCGGCGACAAAACACACATCACTGAAAATCAATGTTTCTCAAAACTTTACATTAAATGAAGATATATTATTATAGAGATATATAATAATTAATTAAAAATCTATACAGTAGGTTTTCTTTTTTCGTGATACGTACATAATGGCAGACCTCTATCATTCTATTTATATAGGTAACGGATTACAATGAGTTTAAATAGAGAATATCACAAATCCAATTCGACAAATCCAATTTTATTTACGAAAAACAAAACCAAATTCAAGTATCTCGCTCTGTGTTCATTTTATAATTAATTTTCAGGAGTTTCCTGAAGTATCTCCGGAGCCTAATAACAATGAAATTGGGACGACATGGAAAGCACCAGCTGTCAAATAAAAAAAGAATCATCAAAATCCGTTCACTCGGTCGAAAGTTCTGAGGTAATAAACATAAAAAAAAATGCAGTCGAATTGAGAGCCTTCTCCTTTTTTGAAGTCAGTTAAAAATAAGCGAAATCTTTAACGTCTTAAGTTTTTCGATTAACTTTTTTTTTTTTTTCTTTAAGCTAAATCGTCATGTTTGTCCGTACCGTTTGTCAATTCTCTTCTTAACACTTCACCAATGTTATAGTTACAAGTATATGTATAAGAGTGCATAAAAATTTTGGCAACAATACATTATCATATACACAAACTATACACATAAAACTGTACAAAATTAGAGGGTATTCAAATGAAATTATCGATGCACATTAGAAATAGAAAATCAAAGTTTGGGAGCTTTAATTTTGTGCTCCGTATAAATCTATGTATAATTCTCTGACGCTTAGTTGCCTAATGAAAATGAGCCCTTTCTTCTACCCCACGGAACCCCACACGGTCAAGCGTCCCTCGGACATCTGCCCGAGGAGCCTTAATGTCGGCCCCGTGTGTTTCAAATGGAAATCGCACTTGCAATTTATCTGAAAGGGTTACGAAAATTACTCCCCACCCTTAATATGTGTTTTATAGCTAATTTGCGAATCCATGCGGCCACCTTCCACGCGTTTGGTAAAATTTATATCTGGCCGATATGTGTGGTGCTAACCAAGGTTATGTTTGTTACGATAAGAACTTGTATTGTTGGATTGATAGTTTTTAAAGTTAAGGAATCGTATAGGCAACATGTGTCACTATTTTAAAATATGATAATCTTCATAATAATAGTGTAAGAGAAACTTTGAATTCCTTTTTAATGATATTTCACGCACGGTGGTTGTGAATGTTCATCTGGAGAACAAGTGCAGGAGCCTAAAAATTCTATAGAATGTTACACACACAAAGTAAATCTAAGTAAAACACGCATCGTTTCTTTCATACTGTTAACGTCAAAGCAAGACTCTATCTTACATTTATAATTGTGTAAATTACACAAATTACACGAATTATGTGAAATAACTAAGAACTTGTTTTACTAGTTTTATATTGCAATATGGACTCATTTAGTCTCCTGTCAATTTATAGATCCTTTATAAAATAAGATTTCTCAAAAAGAAACTCCTTAGAAATAAAAGACCTTACTGATGACTTAATATGTATATATATTGTGAATAAGTCTAAAAATTCAATGCGATTGTTATATACATCACATACCACAATTTATCTCCACACTCCTGGCTGGCTGTGTGAGAATGTCTAAAAGTACCTATAAAGTTTTAAAATGGGAATTGTATTAAAGAATAAATAAAAAAAAATAGTTATTCAAAAATAATCATTTGTTACAAATGTTGGAACGGCTTCACTTTCGCAAACTAATATAATTGATTTAAAAGTTCCGTGTAACAATTTATGTAATACTAGATTTACGCCCGCGGCTTCGCTCTCTTTGAAGCCCTTAAATAAATATCGTTCTTTAAAAGAATCCAATTAAAAATAGCCTATCTCCTTTCTCAGACTCTAGACTATCTATGTACCAAATTTCATTTAAATCCGTTCTGTAGTTTTGGCGTGAAAGCGAGACAGACAGACAGAGTTACTTTCGCATTTATAATATTAGTATGGATAAATGATAAAAGCATAAATAAGGGTCAATTAACAAACGCAATATTTTATCATATATTATGATTGCTTGACATATTTGACAAGTATCATGCAGCTATGAAGGGTGATGTCACTTTTTTGAGGCGATAGAATTGTGTAGCTTTTATTATATATTATATTTAAGTATACGGTATAGTGTTTAATTGTTTTAATTGTTTGCATATTTACGTATTACATAAATACGCAAACAATTTGCACTTTTGTATGAGTAGTATAAAGTGAATTTTAACATTAGTTGAAACTGAACACTACGTTAACATTAAATAAATACGCAAACAACTTTCACTTTTATATGAATAGTATAAAGTGACTTTTAACATTAGTAGAAACTGAACACTACGTTAACACCAAATATGCAATATAAGAGCGTGTTAAGGAATAATTTATACCAGATA